AAAAGTCATACAAAGGTGAGGAAGAAAATGAAAGGAGTGAAGAAAACATCCTTTGGAATGAGAGAACCACATCAGGGAGCCTTGGGGGAGTTATCTAAACTTGCTAGCTTTTAGTTCCCTCCTTTGTAACATAAGGATAAAAACAGAGACCCGTGTCGGTTTTCTGTATTTCATTAAAAAGTCTAAAGGTAGTAACATTTTATAGGGCCTTTGTGAGGATTAAGGAAGGTAAGGATTTAGTACAGTGCCTCTTGCACAGTAAGTGCTCAATGAATGTTAGTCTTTTGTTTTGTTTTTAATAGTTTTTACATTTACTCATATGTGTACACATTGTTTGCCCTCCCCCGTTTCCAGGTAGAACCTGTTCTGCCCTGAATGTTAGTCTTGTAAGTAAATATATATGAGATGGCAATCTCTTCCCCTCTTGAGTGCCATCTCGAAAACTTACTTGGTTTTACTCATACATTGCTAGTATCACCTAAAAACAACCCACCACCACCTCCAAAAACAACAACAACAAAAAACAAGACTGGGTACAATTTACAAGTCAAATCATACCATACACTTTTGTCTCCAAATTTCCCTGAATTTTTTAAAAAAGGGTAAATTCTGGGTATTATGAAAATTAAAGTGTCCTGAGGGGGAAAACAAAAGGAACTACCATTTTCCCTTGATATTTGCAGATATTTCTAATGGGGATCTAATTGTGAGGTGGGCAGACACTCTAATTTCTACCTGCCATAGAAACTCATCTGTGGGTCCCCCCTCCCCACACAGATGCCCAAATCCTCAAATACTCATGTCCCTTATGAAAAATAGTGCAGCACTTGCATATAGTTTATGACATCCTCCCATATACTTTTAATCATGTCTTGATCACTTATAATACCCAATGCAACGTCAACACTAAGGAAATAGTTATTGTACTCTATTAGGGAATAATGATCAGGAAAAAAAGGTCAGTACCTATTTAGTACAGACCCAATTTTTTTCCCCAAATATTTTGGATCCACAGTTGGTTGAATCCACAGATGTGCAACCCATGGATATGGATCACCCTTCTGAGGACCAACTGTATATGTAATCATCCACATGAGATATTTCACATCCTTAGCATACACATATATTTGGCATTCCGAGCATAGAAGATGACATGTATGTCCAATGTGTGCCAAAGAAGAGGGTCTTTGTAATTAGGTAAGTCTATCCTTTGAAAGGATAGGTAAGCCTATCCTTTGAAAAAAAGGACAAGACAGTGTCTCAGGAGAGAAATTAAACAATGAGGGTGTTTTATTCCAACTCTCTAAAACTTAAAAGATAAATGAAGCCAGGTGCCGGTGGCTCATGTCTGTAATCTTAGCTACTTGGGAGGCTGAGATCAGACCAAAATGGATTGGAAGTGTGGCTCAAGCAGTAGAGCATCTGCTTTGCCAACCCTGAGCTCAAACCCCAGTCCCGCCCCCCCGCCAAAAAAAAGTGCTTCTTGAATTTTCAGCTGCAGTGGCAATCAGTGCTGGGAAGGCATTACCCTATTTCAGACTTGTCTTGCTGCCCCTGGTCCATCCATACTGGATATAGGAGACAGACCATCATCTGAAAAGGTGGTGTAGCATAGACAGGACCAATTGGCACCTAATTGGAAGGTGGGTGGTCTCTCTGATTTGTATCTGCTATCAAGACACTTCCCAACCCTTTTTGCTTTAGTTTCTTTTCCAGATAGGGTCTCATGTTTTTGCCTAGTGTTGGCTGCCTATGCTCTTGCATAGCTGAGATTATAGACATGCACTACCACTTCAGTCCCTGAAATAGTGTTTCTAAGTGGTAGACAGTAAATGAAAAGGAAACTAGTTAGTAGGTATACTGATACTGGAACGAAACATCCTTGTAATCTTCCAATTTGTATTCAACGATACAGCTGGAAAGGGCTGTGTGAAAATAAATTCTATGTGCTATGTTCTAGAGTTTGAAATTATGTAGTTTATATATTTTTGGGTACTACTGTAATTTGGGCTCCAACTCAGTTGAAGGCAACATCAACATTGTTGACAGATTTTTCTTCTCTGAAAATCAGTTTTTTCTTCATTGCTTCCTATATACCTTCCAACTCCCAATCTCTGTTATGAGCTCCAGTGCATCATAGAGCTGTGTGCTTGCTTTCTTAGGTAAAATAGCCTTTTGTGAGCTGGTAGGTGGATTCTCCCAGCTCAGTGTCACTGTAATCATGACACCAGTTGTAGCTGTCTTTTCTTTGAAGTCCTAGAATGAGCCATAGAGCCTTCTAACTTTGGCAAAATCACTTTTTTAAAATCATAATCTTGCTGAGGCCAGTGTGACAGGAGACAACAGAGGAGTATTTAATCTGCAGTTAATAACAAAAAGTGCTCTCCTGCAGGGCACTTCTCTATAACTGAGACCTCTTGTTTTAGGACTCAAGACTGAAGATGTTTAAGCAGGGAGTCTGACCTGAACACCAAATGATTGTCACCAAATTAATGTTTTATTATTTTCCATGCCAGGCAAGTGCTCTACCACCTGAGCTACAGTTTCAGCCCTCAATTTGTGTTTTATTGCCTCCCCTTCCTATACCCATATTAACTGCAAATGTTTATCATCTTTTATCTTTTTCCAGTATTCTATCAAAAGGAGAATATCAGAAGCATACAAAGCACAGGTCCAAAGTAAGTGAATTTTCCCACTTCCCACTTTTTTGGGGGAGAGGGCTGGAGTACCTTGGCATGTGATTTTTAGAAGTATGGATTTTAAGCATTTACTCCTGCATCTGAGTGTTAATCCTCCTGTCCACCTTCCCAGGTCAGCAATTACCTTCTGTGCAGTGCATGAGTCACAGTCCATAAGCCTACGTGTGTCATGTTGACGTTCGCTGCTGAGGCTGTATTATTTCCATAGGTTCCTTTAGTTCTGCCATCGTCCCTTACACCCTGCTGCTTTGGTAGGATTGGGAACCCCAGGGGACTTTACACCAAACTCCTTGGAGGCACAGATATAGTCCTTCTTTTATGTATTTATTTAGTGGTACTGGGGTTTGAACTGAGTCTACACCTGGAGCACCCCACCAGCCCTTTTCTGTGATGGGTTTTTTCGAGATAGGGTCTCACAAACTATTAGCCTGGGCTGGCTTCAAATCTCAATCTTCCTGATCAGCTAGGATTGCAGTGTGAGCCAATGCAGCCTGGCATATTTTAATTTTTTAAAAATTTGATACAACGTCTTGCTGTGTAGCCAAGGTTGGCCTGGAAATAGCTATGTAGCCCAGGCTGCTCTGGAACCCATGATCCTCGTGCTTCAGCCTCCCCGAATACTGAGATTACAAGTGTGTACCACCATGCTGGCTTTACCTTTCATGGTAAAGTTCCTCCCACCAGAACCTCAGCAATCTGTTTTAGGGCTGTCATACTTTTTTCTTTCTGCCTTTTAAAAGCATATAGCCTCTATCCTCCAATGTTATTTTCCTTAAAGGGCTCAGGCCTTTTGGAAAACAAAAGCCAAAGAGAGTTACTTCTGCTTTCTTGCCATAAGCTTAAGAAAGCACAGAGAAAACAGGTGGCAAAAACCATAGCTCAAAACATTCTTATCCCCTATTAACTCAATACTAGAGGCAATTACACTTTTGTTTTTTGAGACAGGGTCTTGCTCTATAGCCCAGACTGGCCTTGAAAATCCTCCGGCCTCAGCCTCACAAGTGCTGGGATTACAGATGTGCATCACCACACCAGCACAATTACACTTTTGCAGAAGGAAAAATGTTTTATGTGAGTGTAGCATATTTATTTCTATGGAAAGATATTCACAACATATTGTTTTGAATGGAAGTTAGAAAGCTATGAGGATGAAAGAAAAAAAAAAAAAACTAGTAGAATGACTCCAGTGTTTAAATGTATAGGACTGGGAGTGTGCCAGGTAAGTGGCAGAGCGCTTACCTGGCATGCATGAGGCCCTGGGTTCAATACCTAGTACTGCCAAAAAAAAAAAAAAAAATGTTTAACAACAACGCTGAAGCAGGTATGCATGAAACAGCGGGCATCTCTGGATCTCCCTGGAATCCATACATACTTCATAAGCAACCTTTTGAGTAGCTGAATTGAAGACAACTGATTTGACTTGGGCCTCCACTAACATTGCCTTGATTTCTGCTTTATATTTTTAATATTTTTCGGCAGCCTACTGAATATTCTCGCCTAAGACCTGAATATTCTGGCAATACCCAGTCAACCAAGCCCATAGTTTTACAGGAGTAGACTTTTAAGTACGCTTGGAAGAGGGTAGCGGTGATAAGTGGAGAATATGTTTTGAGATAAGCAGAGTAAGGTTTCTCAACATAAAAAAAAGGACTACCGAACCACTTTTTGATTCTCGGGGGTTAGAGAAGTTAGGTGATGAAGTTGGGAAGCGTCCAAGTCAGGAGTTCTATGCAGCAACCGTCAGCTCTGGGGGGTCCCCAGTGAGACCTGGGTTCCCACCGCTCTGTCAGTCATCTGGGTACCAAACGAGTCTCGGTCCCAGAAAGGGCGTGCCCGCGCCTCCACGCAGCGGAGCGGGGGACCTGGGAAGGAACACTGGAATCTGGCATCAAGACACGTCGGCGTGGTTCAAAGCAATCAGCCGTCCCACAGTGCTGCCTCCAGAAACGGCCGACCGACGCCCGCCCCGCCCCTCGTCCCTCGGCGCCACCCAGCTTCCTCCGCACGACCCGAGCCGGGTCCGCGCGCCAGTCGCACCGCCCCTCCACTGAAGCGTCACTCCGGCGCCGCGCCCAGCGCGCAGCGCGCAGGCGTGGAAAGTGGGGCGGGGCAGGGCGGGGCACCGCCTCCAGCGAGCCCTCTCTCCCACGCCCCCGCCCCGCCCCGGCCGGCGCCAAGGCCCGTTTACATTCGAACGCGGCCCCGCGCTCCTCCCCATTGGCTGATGCTGCCGGTGGACCATCGCTTGGAGACTGCGTCTGCGCGCGAGGCTCCGCGAGGCCCCGCCCCCTCGGGGGGCACCTGAAGTCTTCTCCCGGCCGAGCGCGGGGACGCCGAGCGCTTCGGGCATCCGCGTGGACGCTGCTGTGGAGCTTGGTGTCGCGTCGTGCGTGCCTCGTCGCCCACTCCGCGCGGTGAGTCTCAGGACGTTCTCTTCGGCGCGGAGTCCCTCTTCTTCTCCGAAACACGGGCTGGTGTTCTAGATGGTGTTGGGCGGGGAGTCTTCGGGACGGGATGAAGCAGAGGTGGCCTGGGTGCTGCATCCGTCCGTTCCCTCGTGGCCCTGTGGGTGGCTTGGCCACTTTCTGCTTCGTCCGGTCCGAGGCTGCGTTTCTCCGAGGGACAAGGCTGCCGGTGAGGGGAGGAAGCCGCCGGCCTCGTGGGTCCGTGGGCGGGAGTCGCAGGGCGCGGGGAGGGTGGTGTTGGGAGGGAGGGATCCCTGCCATCTTGAGCCACCTCTTTGTGTGACGTTCTCTCGGGACCGCTGGGGTGGTGGCCGCCCATTGCACCGATGAGCGTGTCGGGGAAAACGGACCCAGAGTCCCCGGCGTGTCGGTGGACAGACAGATGTTGGTGGGAACAGCCGGCTCCGCGGACGCTGCTGTCCTCACCGAGCTGAGGCGCTCACCTGACCATGAGCTCGGTTCGTCCTCTCCATGTTAGTGGAACACTTAGGAAAGAGGTCCTGGGTGTCACCAAGTGGTTGGGACTTTCGCGATGCAAGTGACACCTCTACTGCAGCTCCCGCGGCTGTAGAAAAAGCGAGGTGCAGGGAAGGTGAACGTCAAGACCGTGAGCTGACGACCGGCCATTCCTGTGACATCGTATTCAATATGTATTTCTTGAGAACGAAAATCTGAATCATTAAAATTATTTTAATTTTAGAACAAGAATCAGGAAAAGTTGGAGAAGATACAGTGTGTTCAGTGTCCAAACCAGGAGATCGACAAAATTGGTAAGCTCTGGGAGGTTAAGGGGGTGTGACAGAGGCTTTCAGTAACTTTTACAGTGTATGACTTAAACCAGAACTTTTAAAATTTTTTGAAAAAGATATGTAAGTGGTGATAAAATTATAACTGCCTAATGGAGCATAAAGTGGAAAGTGAACAACTTCCCCCATCTGCCCTACACCTTATATACTCTTCCAGACATTTTATAAGGATGCGAACATCTCAACACACACAAACAGCATTATTTTGTACATATAGATCCGCAAATTGAATTTGTTGCTTAAGATACTTGGATTCTTTTTCACTATGCATTCATGTGTTGATCTGTGTTCTTTTTTTAGTGAGTCAAGGTACCATAATTTAACTTGTCTGGTAAGGTAAATTTTGACCTTGAGGTAATGTTAATACTGACATTATCTTTCAGCAGGTATATTGATGCATGTTTTCTGTCAAATACTGAAAACACTTTGAAAACTAAAAATTAAAACGTTAACTGAGAAGAAACTATTAGGTTAATAGTTTCTTTTTTTACTTTGGGGAAACAGGTTGATATCAAAGCAAAAGAAAACAGTTTTATAAAGAAGTAAAGTTAGATCTAATGATAGGATTTTCTTTTTTTTTTAATTTGTAAGGATTACAGTGGTGCTTCATTATTTTTATATATTTATACATGACAGAGTATTTTAAAAAAATGTCTTTTATATGGATGTATGCATATGGCACAGTGGTAGCAGTTCTTAAGTCTTGACTTGAATAAAACATACTTTTTATCAGTTGGGGCCACAAATATGTGAGCCCTAATCTGGGTGGTGGCCCCAGTTGAATTGCCCCAGATTTACAGCTGACTCACCAAAGTCCTCTGGCAAGTCATCTAACTCTGATGTGGTAAATATTTCTTTTCAGAGGTTATAAAATGTAATGAATGTTTTATAACCATTCATGTTTAGAGATGAAAGACAGACTGTAAAGCATTAGTGAATTAAAACTTGAAAAATGCAGAGAATGGGTAGTGGTATTTTTGGCATTGCTTAATTCTCCATCATCTTTCATGATAATATCTATTATCTAATATGCTGGCTAGACTTTATGGAGGCCCAGTCGCCTTCTGGTGAAAGACTTCATAAAAAGTTTGGAAATTCAGAAGTGTTTGTTTTTGACACTTAAGCACAAAAATTTGTTAAATAATTAATAAGTAATTTATAGCCTCATGTTTCTGAGGCTTATATTTCTGTTAAAAAATATTTCTCTTTCTTGGTGTCTTAAAAGGGAAGCAGGGTGTCTTGAATTAAGTACCAAGTTTTACTTGGGATTTTAGCACCTACTGGAAGAAAATACATTTTATATGGATTATTTTACTTTTTAAAAGAACAAAATACAGATTGATTTTAAAATTAATTTGCCAGAAGAAAGGCTAGATAATAGGCAAGACAGAAACTTTTAAGGTTTTTTTAAATTGTGTTATATATATATAACAAATTTACCATTTAAACCATTTTTTAAAAGTATACAGTTCATTGACATATATATTTGTATTGTTTTGTGATCATCACTACCATCTACCTCCAGAACTTTCTCATCTTCCCACACTGAAACTCTCTACTCATTAAACAATGGATTATGTCCTTCCCCCACCTCCCTTAGGCCATGGCCACCTCCATTCTACTTCCTGTCTCTGGATTGCTTACTGTTTTTCATACTGTGCATTTTTCACTATTAACCTAATAGAGTGTATTGATAGATTTTCTGTGTTGAGTTATCTGTATTTCTGGGAAGAACCTTATTTAGTCATGGTGCAATTTTAATTTTAATTTTTTTGTTGCTGAGGTTGAACCCATGACCTCTCTCATGCACTTCTGGATTGTTTTTACTAATACTGTGTTTAGGATTTTACATGAGTATCCATTTTTGAAATTCTATTTTTAATGTGTATTACCTCTCTTAGGTTTTTGGAAGGCAGTGATACTGTACCACCAACTCATTCTTCTCTTAGGTTTTGGAATCATGTTATACTGTCTTCAGAAGTTGGCACACTTCGTATATTTGTATTTTGGTACAGTTGAGTAAGAAGTTGTTTCTTGACATTTGAAAGAATTCATCAGAGAAGCTTACCTCTCCACCCTTTCTTTTAGTTTTTTTCAGATTAGAACTTTTGTAATTTGTAAATTTCTCCCAGTTTGCTTTGCTTCTTGGGTTGCTTTTGGTAATATGAACTGATTTAGAGAATAGTTCATTTGTTGTAAATTGTCAAAAACATATATATATCTCAGTTATTTTCTATAATGGAAGATATTTTCTTTGGAAGATATTTTTCTATAATATTGACTTTTTTCTGTATTTAGCTTCTTTCATTTTCTCAATACATATGTATTGTTTCTTCCTTTTCTCTCTTGATTAGAATAATGTATGAATCCATTTCTTCATAACAAATTATCCCATAATTTAGCAGCTTAAAACAATGTTTTTTGAGACAGACTCTGACAATACATAGTGTCTTCAGCCCATGCTTGTCTTGAACTTGTGATCCTCCTGCTTCAGCCTCCCCAGTAGCTGGGATTATTTAAGCATGTGATAAAGTGTTTATCTTTTCAAGTGTTCAGCTTTAAAAAAAAAGGAAATATTAAAACAAAATTTCCATGGGTTAGGAATCTAGGGTTGGTATATGGGGCACTTCAGGCCCATTACCTCTTAGGAGTTTGTAGTAAAGCTGTTGGATGCCATTGTTCCTAAAGAACCTGCTCCAAGCTTGCTTTTGTTTTTGTTTCCAGTTTCCGTTTCTTGTGGTACATTAGACTTAAGAGCCTGAGCTCCTCACCTTGCTAGGTGGGCCTTGGTCTATTTATAGTGTGGTAGCTTACTTCCCTTAGAGCATTCCCAGAGTAAGGTGGAGAGCCAGAGTGCTCCAGACAGAAGCCATGGTCTTTTACTACAAAATCTTTGAAGTGATATCCATCACTTCTGCTGTATTCTCTGTGTCAGGAGTCACTAAGTCTAGTCCACACTCAAGGGTAGGGAATTACAAAAATATCCCAGAGGTAAGGTTATTGGGCCAGTTTAGAGACTACCTATCGTAGATAACTAATGGATTATTTATTTAAGAAACAGCTATTAGTTTAGTAATTCTGTGTTTACTCATTGTTTCCTTCATTTATCTTTATCCTTTTATTGTGCTTGTCCTAGATTTTTTTTTTTTTTTTGGGATGGGATCTGGGTATATTACCCAGGCTGATCTCAAGCTTGTAGATCTGGTGATCCTCCTGCTTCAGCCTCCTTAGCAGCTGGGACTATAGGCATGTACCACCTTGCTTTGCTGTAGCCTTTTTTTTTTTTTTTAGTGGAATCTTCATTTTATATCCTTTTTTTAAATATCCTTTTTGATAATGAAAGTATATAGCATCAGTTTTGCTGTATAGAATTGTTTTTTTTTTAACACTGAAGATTTTGCTAGGAATATTTTTACTGTTTCACATGAATAAATTATATCTTAGCTTTTCCTGTCATACCTTATAAGCCTTGCTACACTTACCTCTTAGCATTCCTTGTTGCTATTATGTCTAAGAAGGCTTTTTCACTAACGTGTCTGGCATCTTATTGCTGCTCCGCCTGGTCCATCTTCGTTAGAGTAGACTGGGTTTCTTAACATAGCAGCTGCTTGCCAGGGTTAAGGGCCGTGCCTAGAACTCAGCAGCATTGCTTGTATTGTATTCTTCTGTCAAAGTAGTCACTTGGTCTGTAAAAACTTTCATGGGGTTTGAATAGATTTCGTTTCTCTCTTTTGTTTTGGCTTGAACTCAGGACTTAGCAAGTGCTCTCCCATCCCTCCCCCCAACCCTTTTTGCTTCAGTTTGTTTTCAGATAGGGTCTTGTGTTTTTGCTTGGCAGGCCTCAGACTTCAATCCTCCTACCTCTGCTTCCTGAGTAGCTGGGATTACAGTCTTAAGTCCTGATGCTGACCCTAGGTTTCATTTCTTGATGGGGGGAAGTAGCTGCAAAGTCATGGTACAGAAGAGAATGTATGGGATGTAATAATGGCCATTTCAGTTTTGTTTGGAAATTTTAATCTCGCAGAAGCAAATGCTGAGACCCTTGTGTTCTTGTTTTCCATTTTTTTCATCCTGCTCTTCTGCTTGGATGTTTGTAAGTTTATTTTTGGTTTCTTGAGACACAGGGTCTTGGCTATGTGGTCCAGGTTTGGCTTATACTATTTCTCAGGCTGGGCTTGAACTTGTGATCCTTCTGCCTCACCACCATGTCAGGCAGAACTATATTATTTTTCAACATTTTATATTTTTTTAATTGCATATTGATTAAAAGTGCAGTCACCGTGTTAATAAAGAATAGCAGACCCATGCCCTTACTTTCCCTACTCCTGATCCTTGTTTTCAGAGGCCATCACTTTCATCCATTAATTATTTTGGTATTGTGTATTTCTAAACACTGTTTTTTTTTTTTTTTTCATTTTTGACTATCTATTTATTGGCTTTCTTAGAAAGGAAGATTTAGTTCTTCCTTTCTTGTTTCTTCACTTACTTCCCCCCTCAGTATAATTTTTTCAACTCTGATAAAATTGATATTTGATATTTATAATATTATGACTGTTAATAGAACTAGGCCACATTATATTGTAGTGTTTTCTCTTTTTTCATGATTCTGTCCCTTTCTCCTAGTTTTCTCATTAACTCTCAGTATGTTCAGATACATGAAGTACTCTGTGAGTTCCATTTATTTATGTTAAGACATTGCTCTTGGATCTTTCTTCCAAAAAATCTGCCTGTTCTCTAGACTTATACAGTAGTGCTGGACTTTCTCTGTTATCCTGGTGAGAATTCTTCTCTCCTACAGCTGCTTCTTTCGGAAGAATTGACTGGTATTCACTTTTGAGAGCTTTCATGTTGAGCTATCTTTATATAAAAATGGATTAATTTTTTTTCGAAGTATAGAATTTAGGTTCCATTAAGGAAGTTGTATTTTTTTTCCCCTGAGAATGTTGAAGGCATTACCTTATTGTTTTTTAGTTTCCATTGTTGTTATTTATGTTTTTACTGTTTAGAAACCTCTGTATAGCTTAACTAAATTTAAGATTGTTCTAGGAAATATACATATCTGATGTTTTTTGCTGTTTTTCTTTTTCTCAGGAGTCTAAGCAGATTGTGGAAACCTTTGGATGTATAAAATTTCCTACTGGCTTCTGGAAGAACTAGCCCCCAAATATGATAGCCACCTATATCTTGTACTTCTCAGTCAGTAATGAATCCGAAAGTTCTTAGCCTTAACAGAGTTATTTCTTAACTAGGTTTGCCTCTCCTAACCAGTTCTGATTTCTCTTGAATTTGTTATCTGCAATTTTCGTTCTGACTGCTTTTTTTGGGGGCAGTACTAGGGTTTGAACTCAGGGCCTCATGCTTGCTAGGCAGGCGCTCCACCACTTGAGCCCCTCTGTCAGCATTACCTGCAATTTTTAATAAATCAGCAAGAGTACAGTCTGACAATAGATTTCTGTGATCTTGATATTACCTATGAATTTCTGGTTAAATTTTATTGAAAATGTTACATACTATAGCAGTAAGTTTGAGACTGACTTTATTACATCATTTCATTCTAAAAGTTGAGCTTTTGGGTCCCAACATGGCTTCTCAGTGAAGTTGTTCCCTGACTTTTTGACAGGCATAGAATAGGACTGTGGAGGGGAAAGTTAGATTCTGTTTTAGGAATACACTACTTCTGCTACATATGAAATAGCTCTGATAATATTATTACGTCTAGGTTGAATGTTAATCCCTTCAAAGAGCTGATCTGTTTATTCCTTCATTGTGCATTCTGACATCACTGAAATACTCTGAGAAACATGTTTGTTTTTCTTGGATGTTTTTTCTATGACTTCAGAGCTCTCTGTAGGTGTGGGTAAGGTTGTAAAGGCTTCCCAACATGCATTCACTTGAATTTATCGCAGTGACTTGTCATCTTCTGTACCTGGTGCCCAATTATTTTAGTTTCTTGGAATGCTACACGGCTAAAACTTAGTCTATCAGAACTTGACTCATTAGGGATTCTAAATATTGTCATCTGAATATGGAATATTTTTCTTATGGACTCTTCTGTTACGACTTTTCCTAAGAAAAATAGACTTTGTTATTTAAAAAAATATAAAAAATAACTTCAAAAAACTAAAGTCTGTATGAACATTGGTGTCTTAATCATTCAACTGATAGGGAGCAGATGCCTACTATGTGTTAAGTTCTGTGCTGAGGATATAGAAATATACAATAATTAAGCTACAATTCTTGCTGTTATAGAACGCTTATATTCTAATATATACAAAAATGCAGATTGGGGCATGGTTGAAGTAATGAGTGCCTGCCTAACAGACATACAGTCCTGAGTTCAAACCCTGGTCCCACAAAAACAAAGTATAATTATTTTCAGATGCTCTTTTTACAGACTTTTAATTTTAAGTTAGTTTGATAGAGGATTTGAAAGCCCTTGTATTTTATACAAATAGAATTTGGATTTTTTTGTTTTCTTTAAACAGTGTGACTTGATTTTTTCTGTCAGGGGTAGTCTGTCCTGAGGATTGTGGTTTGCATTGAAAATGCCCCAATGAAAAGTATAAGAGGCAGTAGGGTGGAAAACTGTCAGGCTTCTGTTAGAAATAATAACTTGCGAATAGGTCATGTTACTTTCGTTAAGAGTCACTGAACTATACTGCTGGTATATTTTTCTGTCTCAAGGAAATAACAAGGCATATTTTTAAAGAATGAAAGATGACTGTGGTGCCTTTTGTTCTTCTTTACGTTAGTGCTTTAGTTTTTCACTTAAAAATTAAGTCAGTACTTCAGTCACCATACCTGACTTTGTCTTTCAAACTGATTTTTATGGCGGTGACTAATTTAAAAAAAATGATCAAGTTAAAATCATTATTTTAGAGAATTACACTATGGGTCTGGGTCTGAGTCTGGGGCTATGTTAGAGCACTTGCAAGGCCCTGGGTTTGACCCTTCAGCATCACCAAAGGTCCTGAGCATTGAACTTAGCTATTCCAATTCAAGCAGCCAAGAAATTTATAGTAACGTTTTCCAGGGAAATCAGATATGTAACTTGCTGTAAGAAACCATAATTGAGCCAAGTGGAAGCATATCTTCTTTTGAATTAATATGATTTTGTTAAGCCTAAATTATTATAGAATGACACATTTAGTCTTAACTATTCATTATATTTGCATAGTTTTGATTTTATCATCTTAGAATGTAAAAAGTTACATATAGTAATTGTAATTAAGCAGACTTCAATAGAATACTTTTTTTAGTCTTCATTACATAGAAACAGATTTAAGTAGCTTTAAAGTACTTTATTAGAAATTGTAATTGTTTTGCTTGGTATGAATTTTGTTTAAAATGAGTAAGCTCTTAAAGATTGTCAGTTCAATATTACATATTAGAAATTGAATTACTAAGAAAGTAACTCATTTAAAAAATCTTAGTATTTTAGTTTTCCCTTTAAATGATAAGCATGGTATATTAAGTTTGAAGGTTAATGTCTAAAACTTTGCTTATGTGTGTATGTATGTATATTATATTTAGACTAGGTATTTTTTCTCTTGACAGGAAATGCACAATTTTGAGGATGAGTTAACATGTCCCATCTGTTACAGTATTTTTGAAGATCCTCGTGTACTGCCATGCTCTCACACATTTTGTAGAAATTGTTTGGAAAACGTTCTTCAGGCATCTGGAAACTTTTATATATGGAGACCTTTACGAATCCCACTGAAGTGCCCTAATTGTAGAAGCATTATTGAAATTGCTTCCACTGGTATTGAATCTTTACCTGTTAATTTTGCATTAAGGGCTATTATTGAAAAATACCAGCAAGAAGATCATCCAGATATTGTCACCTGCCCTGAACATTATAGACAACCATTAAATGTTTATTGTCTGCTAGATAAAAAATTAGTTTGTGGTCATTGCCTTACTATAGGTCAACATCATGGTCATCCTATAGATGACCTTCAAAGTGCCTATTTGAAAGAAAAGGATACGCCTCAAAAACTACTCAAACAGCTAACGGACACACACTGGACGGATCTCACTCGGCTTATTGAAAGGCTAGAAGAACAAAAATCTCATTCTGAGAAAATGGTCCAAGGTGATAAGGAAGTTGTTTTCCAGTATTTTAAGGAGCTTATTGATACATTAGAACAGAAAAAAAAATTTTTCCTAACAGCTCTGTGTGATGTTAGCAATCTGATTAGTCAAGAATATACTCCACAAATTGAAAGATTGAAAGAAATAAAAGAACAACAGCTTGAATTAGTGACAGTGACCACATCTTTAGAAGAAGAGGCTCCACTTAAATTTCTTGAAAAAGTTGATGATGTCCGCCAGCGTGTGCAGATGTTGAAACAAAGACCACTTCCTGTGGTCCAACCTGTTGAAATTTATCCTCGAGTTAGCAAAGTATTAGAAGAAGAATGGAACAGAACAGAAATTGGACACATTAAGAAAGCTCTCATTCCTCGAATGAGAATTTCTTCAAAAAGAATGCCTTGTTCCTGGCCTGATAAGGATGAAAAAGAAGTTGAATTTTTTAAAATGTTAAACATTGTTATAGTTACACTAATTTCAGTGATATTAATGTTGATTCTCTTTTTCAACCAACACATAATAACCTTCATAAACGAAATCACTTCAGTATGTTTTTCTGAAGTGTCTCTGTCTGTTTACCAAAGTTTATCTAACAATTTGTATGAGTTAAAAAACATACTCTGTCACATTTTGTATTTGTTAAAGGAACTCATGTGGAAAATAGTTTCTCTTTAAAAACTTAAATCTGAATTGTTAAGTGGGCTTATTCTGTACAGAAGAGGCTAACCACTGCTAAATGAAGAAGTGGTAGTTTAAGTAGTAAACTAAAACTGCAGTAGAGTTACAACAAAAATATATAGAAATGTTAAACCTTCCATTCTTCTGTTGGGTACAAATGATGAGCGAGTTAGAAATGAGACAGCATCTGAAATTCAAGTCATTACTAGAAAACTACAATATAGTTACTTGATTTGAAATATTAGTAGAGTATCCATTTTTATTGGCTTGATAGAGGTTTACAATGCTGCTGTGGCATTTATTCATTCTTACACCAGTTTTATCTTTGACCATTATGTACTGCAATGGTTGACTTTGCAGTTTTTTGTGTATATGGCTTTTTGATTAAAAGGTGGCAAAACCCTCAAGGTGCTTATGCCTTTATTTCAACATGGCTTGAAGCTTTTGGAAGGGTGAATAGGGATGGTTAAAAAGGTTTAAAAAAAAATCAAGTAGCAAAATGTGATAAAGGACTATTTGTAGAGTTTTTTGATCAGATTCACGATGTGTTCTAGATAGTTTTAAGAGCACTAAAGTATCAACATTCATTTTGAGTAATTCTGTTGCTTGTGAATATTCTAAGTATTAGGGAACACTGACACTTTTTTTTTTTTTTTTTGTGATACTGGGGTTTTAACTCGGCCTTATGTTTGCTGCTAGGCAGTATTGAGGGAACTAGTTCCTAAACATTCTTAAGTCTTTACTTTACTTAGTCTTATCAACTAAGATGATGACACTGGTCAGTTTAGACTGACCTAGCACATTTAAGCCGTTAAGACATTTTTGAAGGGTGTAATGGAGAGAAATAAATGTAAATATTAACAGTGAAAAGTATGTTAGCTATTACTTAATCTCATGTATCTGAAGGGCAGTATTAACCTTTGTAGATGAAACAGTAGCATTTTATGCTATACAATGAGGGAGAATTCAGGCATTCTTTTCAGTTTATATGTTTAAAGAATTTGAGTAGGCCTAGGTTAATGTTAGGGCTTTTAAGTAAGATTTATAGCTAGGAATCAAAGCATATCCTGTTAGCACCATTTTAAGGCTACTATTAAGTACTTTGTAACTTGCCAGTTTTTAGTAGACAAGACTTCTGATATTCAAGTAACTGATTCTTATACATGCTGCTCTTCTGTAGTTTTCCAAGGTGATGAGATTGTATAACTTAAAATTTTGAGTTTTATGTGTAACAATGTATTTAATAAACTTTTGATATTTGTATTGAGTGGTTTAATAAGGTGCTCAAAGCTGGGGAGTGGTAGATTTGGGATTTCTGTATGGGTTCTGGATAACTTAAAGAGCAATGAGCTCTACAATTAACATGAAAAGGTTTTATTCGCCTCACCAAAAAAAGCTCTTGACTGTTTTCCCTATGCATTCCCTATGGAGCATTTTCTTCTTTTCCCTATAATTTTCATTTAAACAGATGCCCATACTTAAACTTTAAATATTGCTTTATTTAAGTCCGTGCTATTAGTGTGTTTACATTTTACTGGCTTTATTATACAATGAATATTCAACTTTTAATACTTCAACAAAGATCCACTGAATGATGAGGCAATTAACTCAGTTCCTTAGGATAAATACTTACAAATTAAACAGGGCAAAAACTAGATCAAGTTCCTTCTGAAAACCAAGTGTTGCCAGTTTATTTCCAGTAGCCTAATATTCTTGAGATGGCACAGTAAAAAACCTATTTGACAGGCAAACAACACTAAGGAAGTTAACCCCTGTATGTTAATGATGCCAGTGGGGTATTAATGACTTAGGATCTAGTTTAGACATTGTCTTAGTTTTGCTGTTTCTTGCAAGTAACTTAAGTAGTGACACTGATACTAAGTTTTAGAAATGCGTATGATAGTTAAACTCATCCCTATGAATTCAGAATTACTGGGTTACCAGAAAAGTTCCCATTATATGGGGAAATAAAAATAGTGATTGTCTAAATTAGTAGGTGTAATGCCTTAAGAATTTATCCATTAACTGGCAGACTTTTCTAGTGTTGGTCACATGTCTGCAAAGTTAGGCTGAGGCTGATAAAATAATAGTTTTATTGTGCCTCAACCAACACAGCTTTAAACTTTCCTGGTAACAACTTTGAACTAAGGGCAAGTCACCAGATCTTCCAGGCATTTTCTTTTTCTCTATAGTCTAATACAAAATTGGTATTTTGGAGGTGGGCATGGTTAATGACGCCTATAATCCCAGCACCAGAGGGTGAGACAAGATTGAGTTTTAGGCTAGAGGGCTACATAGCTACATAGCAAGACATGATCTCAAAAAACAAAACAAAAACCCAACCCAAACCAAACACCTCCACCAACCCTTATTTCTATGATGCAATAGCAGATACAGAAAATACTTTCTTAGACATTATGACTCAATAGCATAAAATAGAAATCAGTCTTGTCATACAGCTTAAGAATATGTATTTTATACAACTTGTAATTTACGTTTTACAAATAGAAAACCAGTAATATACAAAATCTATTTCATTTGACAAATCTTCAGTATAAAGTTCAACAAAGTCCTTTAGATGCAATTTCCTTTGGGTTCACGGCAACACTTTTGGTTATGTTGTACGTCTTGTAAATTCCAATTAGTCTATCTGAAATCTCAAACATATTATTTCGAAGAGAAATTATTATGAACTGGGCATTTTTTGTTTGCTCCTAAAAAGGAAAAAGAAAGTGGGAAATATTAAGAAATAACAGGTAAATCACATGATAAGCAGGTAGGTTTTGCTTCCTTCAGTCTTTCAGCAATATGCTCCACATTACATACATAATGTACTGTGATGATGGTATGGTACTTGAGTTTGACAGGAATTGGGTATTTTTGGAAGCATGACTGCCTAGAAATCTAGTAGAAAAGACCTGGGAAGAAGAACTGGAGTTCTATCTATGGTTCTGCTACTAATTTGCATTATCAGTTTATATTTTATTCTCCAAAATGGAAAAATTTGGCTCAAATAAAGAAGCCATTGTCTCTTAATCCTCGAGAACATGAAGTTAAAACAACGGTAAAAACTCAATAGGAAATAATTCAAAGCATCATGATGCATTATTTTAGGGGACTATAAAATGTCCAGGGTAAAATGCTCTCGTGCATTACTTACGTATATGTAAAACGCCACAATGGACACATTCTTAAAATCCAGGGCTGCATCAATCTCGTCCATGAAGTACAGGGGGGTGGGTTTATAGTGGTGGAGAGCGAATACTAAGGCCAATGAGCTAAGTGTTTTCTCCCCTCCTGAAAGATTGAAGATCTTCTTCCAACTTTTCTTAGGCGGTCGAACACTGCAATAGTCAAGAAAATCTCTTAGTGAAGTTACTTTTAGAGCTGATACGGTTCCCATAATTGACTTCTACCACTTTCCTTCTTGGGAATTTTTAGTTAGTTTTTTATAGGTATGAATTCTTTTTTGGGGGCAGAGCCGGTAATGAGGTTTGAACTCAGGGGCTTGTGCTTGCTAGGCAGATGCTCTACCCCTTGAGCCATGCCCCTGGCCCTTCTTTGCATTAGTTGTTTTCCAGATGACCTGGCTATGAACCCTGCCCCTCCTTTTTTGGTTATTTTACAATAATGTTACTATAAGATGAACATATTAGGAACACCTACCAAGACTTTAAGAGCAGGCCAAGTATTTCTTGATATTCTTTCATCTTAGCTAATGCTTCAAAATTAAGAACAAAAATGAACTAGACAACTATTTTGTAAAGATTAAATACTTGCTGTTTACATACTTGCCAAGTATATAAATAATTTAGTATTTATCATTAAACGAATCAAGTTGTAGCTCTAATCTTCACATCTCACCCCCCCCAAAAAAAAGTTTGGAGAATATGTAGACAGGTAACAATGAATTCAAAATCCCTTACAAACCTGAACATGATTCCTTCAGAGAAAGGATCCAAGCTGTCCACGAGCTCTAGCTCTGCATCCCCTCCCAAAGTAAGCATTTGGTAATTCTCCTTTAGTTTATTTGTTATTATATAAAAACCTGCCATGAATTCATTAAGCCTTTGTTTTCGTAGATCTTCATATGCCTGTCTAAAATGATCTCTTTCAGAGGTGATTTTGTCCAATTCTGCAACTCGCTGCAAATATAATTCTTCCTGTAAAAAGATTGTGAGGAAAAACCCTTGTGAAATACAAATTTCAGATGAGAATTAGCATTGCTCACATAAAACTAATGGTTATAATTTAGGCCAAGGACTAAAGGAATCTGACTATTATGTATAAATGATATATTTTCTACCTTCTTTTTATATTCTGCAATGGCACCAAGGTTTGGTTTCATTTCATGACACTGGGCTTCCAAAAGTGCAATTTGATTTGTTATCGAATCTGGATTCTTGATTGCTTCAAGGTCCTCTGGGCTTAGAAGTGAAACCTCTTCAACAGGATGATCTTCTACAGGATGCAATGATATTTTTGAAATCTAAAAGTTCAATTTAGACGACAGGCAGTTTTACAATTTTTTAAAAAATAAAACATGAAAAATTAAATCACTATGAAAACAACAGGAATCAGGACAAATTTGTTAACCAATTTTCAACAACAGTTGTACCATAATGAAGTATTCACGTAAACTTTTGTTAAATCTTTGGATCAGCTCTGGTAGAAAGGTAGCTGCTTAATCCTCAACTATTACTCAGGTTTTTCCATATATAACAGCACATATGAACTATAATAGTACATTATGCTCCTTATAAACCTGAGAAATAATTACATTGTGGAATTAAGAATCGCAACATACCTCAAAAAACAAAACCACCCTCCCCCAAATAGAGCACAAGCCATTTTTCATAAGACACAGGTGTTAAGTTTAAGTAAATAGCAGCAATCTCACCTCCTTTTGCCAGTATTTTATTTTAGAATTATGTTCAGCAATGCGACCATCTATTTGTTCAAGTTTCAACTTAATACTAAGTGCATCTTTTTGAAGAGCGTGTTCATTTTCTTGAATGACTTTTAGCTCTTGAAGGAGATTACGATGTTCTTTCTGGATTTCTGGTAAGGATTCCTAAAAAACGAGAACTGTTACATGTATGACCTCACCAATAGAACCCATATTTCACATCACAAAGATACCCAGCAATCTCTCCCATGTCCGTTCCATTTTAAAGACATTTTAATTCAAAATGTTCCAATACTCATTTTTGTTGTACAAATAAGTTTACAGTTATGAAACTTTTAATTTATAATAAATCCCTAAATTACTTTGACTATCATCCCCTCTCCCTAATAAATAAACTTACCTCTGCAGCATTTGTATTTTTTATGACCTCTGTTGCTTTGTCCTCAAGGTTTTTTAGCTCTGCTGTTAAGTCACTGACTTCTTTCTCAGTCTCTTTTATTTCTTTCTCCGTGCGTATGACAGAGTCTTGTGCCTTTTTAAGATTTCTGAAGCAAAATGACACAATAAAAATGCAGTAGTATGTGATTTGCTATTGTTCCTGGAAGTCTATCAAAGAATTTTTCACATTTTTTTCCTAGCACAGAAGTAAATTCATGGCTTACTGAGCCACCTTTTATTTTCTGGGGCTTGAACTCACAGCCTTTGAGCTTACAAAGCAGGTGCTCTACCTTTTGAGCCATATTTCCACTCTTACTAAGCATCTTTTTATACATTTGTACAAATACTCATGGGATAAACTGTGTATTTTAGATTCTTAATATAAATTAATTTCCTTATATAAGCTTCCAGTATCATCTAACCTTAGTCTCTGATAAAAAGTCATCCTAAGATTATGAAATTCTTTTGTCATTTTGTGATCAGACTAGAGATCCTTAAATCTCTTAAGCATCATTCTGTTCCTGATATAAATGGTTTATTAGTTCCTTATCTTTGAGCAAAAGGCACTGGTTAACAACCAAATAACCAACCTACAATCAATTAAAAAAAACTTGTGAGGTAAATAGAACAGCTATTTTAACTTCAATTTTATATCTACAGCGACTTTATTTTATAAATACTTCAGTAATTACCCTAAAAAAATTAAGAGATCCATGAATGGATAAAAAACATTTTTGTGAATTAAGATAACTGACTCTTACAATTAATTAAAAATTTAAGGGCTAGGGGTATAGCTCAGTGGGAGAGTGCCTGTCTAGCAAACATGAGGTCTTGTGTACAATCCCTGCCACTGGAAAAAAACCAAACAAGCAAACAAAACAAAACAAACCCGAAACAATTTTGCTAAGAGACCCCATTCTTACTTTTTATTCTCTCTAATTCTCTAAGCCAGGGAAGTTACTGGTGTCTATGCCCTCATAACAACTGGGAAGTTACATAATTGTTCTTTTTCAAGGTATACCTGTAGAAGTTTTTAAAACACTGGCCATTAGATAAATGTTCATTCTGAGTTTCTCCTTACTAAAAGTCCTGTTAGGTAATAACATGCCAGATGGGTTTAATAAGTAAAAGAACATTAATGGAACATTAAATTTAAACATTAACCCTCTTTCCCCGTGTGGAGATAGGGATGGGGAAGGCCGGTTGGGTAGTGTGCATACTCTACCTGTCTGCAGTCTTGATTGCTACTTGGGCCTTAGTAATAGCAGAAGCACATTCATCTAATTGCTTATTTATTTTATCGAGTTTGTCTTGTTGGGCCTTGAGTTTATGGTTGTTGATTTCTATGATGATATCATGTAACCGCTTAACCTCAGCTTCTACTTTACCAGCTTTCTCAGCCACGGCATCATATTCTGAAATTGAAAGAGTTCTATGCATGTTTCTATGGTAACAAACATCATTTGTTACATGTAAGGTATGATAACAAATCTTAAACATTTAGGAAAAAGTACCTTAAAAAAACCCAGAAATGCCAAAACAAATGGTGAAATTCTTTAGTTTAGCTGTAAACACACCCTTTATTTCTTAATGGCTTCATACTCTCAGGTTCCTTTCAGAGATCTTTTTAACTTTTTCTTAGGATACTTCACTGACTACTGGTTTTGTGACTTTCAGCCTTAGTTTATGGCCTGCCCCTATTAATTTGCCCCTGGTAAAGAAACTGGTTATTTTCTTCTGCTGACCTAACTTAGCAGTTCTCCACATTATAACAATGTGAAGGATGTAAGATGAACTGGTGCTCTTCCCCCATGGTAAAGAAAACATTCCCCAGATTTCTGTGTAGGTAGGGTTTAGACATAACTTTGGTCCATTCAACCAAGTACTTGCATATCTTGGAAAGCATAAACAATGAACTGATATGTTTCTGCTGGCAAACAGTTACAGAGAAGTCTAGATTTTCTATGCTGAAGTTAAAGGTTAATAACTGTGAGTATTGCCAGGCAGTAACATTAACTTTGATGATGTGGATTGTATCAGGTGCAATGTGCTTCTACTGTTAGTAGCTATACTCCTTTCCAAATGTAGAAATGGTTCTAGCTCCTTGGATTGTTCTATAGCGTAGTCCTGGAAATTATTCTTGAGTGTTCAATCTACAAATTCTTTGTAAACAACCTAATACCCTGTCACACACTTGAATTACATGTGTTCTATTTACACTAGCCAGTGTAAATTCTGCTCACTATTCAATACAAGAAGGATAAACAGGTAGCAAAAAGGTGGAAAATTCAAGCTATGAGTACCTGTGTCAGGGATGGTGAAGTGGCCCAAGTGGTAGAGAGCCTGCCTAGCAAGTTTGTGACCTGGAGTTCAAACCCTAGTATGACCAAAACAATAAAAGTAAAAAAGCCTGTGTCTAAAAAGGTAATCAGAAATGCTGAGCTAACTGGTTAAAAGAGATTTCCACAAAGCTCTTAAGGGTATATGGGTATTTGGCAAAGGAAGACAGAGGTAGATTTGCTGAGAGCAAAGGATTGGATAGACTTAACTATTGCTTCCTTTCTTTTGTCCCGCCATTAGGCAGATGCTGGGATGTCAGTATCTCTCAAATCTCTCAATTTCCTACTTCTTTATCTTTTTGCATTACACTACCAGAGAATATTTTAGTATGACTGGCCCATGTATTAATTCCAACATCCTTATTTCTTACATTTCTGAGATCACATTGTTTGGCTCTATTAAAGCAAAACAAAATAAAACCTCTTGGGAGATGTTTTATCTTTCTAAGGATGTTTTATATATGTTTAAAGCCCTGAGTTTTGCTATGCTAGCAATTGCTTTCTTTTTTTAAAGGAAATGTTATTTACTGATGAATTATCTTGCTCAGTGATGATCTTGCTCACAGTGATGATGATCTTTGTGGTAAAAATTCCATTAGGTAACCCCTGTTACTCAGCTCATAAATAAGCCGTGTGTGCATGGGAGGGATTTGGGGGGTGGATAGAGGGTAGACAAACAATACCACCATTACAGTGACTGGAGATGGGTCAAGTATGCAGCTGGGAAGGCTCCCATCCCTAACTCTTCTCCCAACAAGATTCTTTCCTTTTCTTTTGTTTTTTTGGAGTGCCATGCATTCTGTTTATTAGAAGGGAAAGGGAAAAACTGGCAGGTATTAACTGTAATTTTGAAGATGCTGTTCTGTATTTAAAACTTTATCTTGAAAAGGAAGTTTATAGATTTAGGTATAATGGTTTACCGTAGCTACTGTTTATTTAAAAACATGGGTATGTTCAAGAGTTAGAAACTAGTTATTAATCATCACCTCTTGCCTGAATTACTGTTAATACTCCACTTTTTCTGCTTCTGCCTTACCTCTTACTCTATTCTCTGCTTATTACATGTAGCTTATTATTTAAATATTTATCTGAAATTACTGTAAAATTACTTTAATATCCATGAGAGGAGAAAGAGTTCCCAATAAAGTTAAAGACTCTTCTTCAATTAATAAAGCACAGATTCATGCAGTCTCTCTGGCCTTTGACCTAACCCTTAGGTACCACTGAAGCAGTCACAAGATGGGAGCATGGGTGAGGCCAGGGTATTTGCTAAATGAACCATGTATCCCAAATAAATGCAGTGAAAGAAACTCGTATTATACCACTTCCTGTACATCACTCTCCGATGGTGTCGCACTTCATTCAGAACCATCATGTCCTGTAAGGCCCGAAAGGAATCTGCATTTCTCCATCCTTCACTCTAGTGACAATGGCCTCCCCCAGTGTTCCTTCTACACTAGCATATTCCTGCTTAGGGTCTTTGCATTTACTTCTCTATACTCTCCTGGGAATGCTTTTCTCTTAAATATTCACACAATTAGTACTCATATTTCCTTTGGGTCTCCAGCTCAAATATTTCTGCCCTGTCTTAAATGTGAGTGCCTTGAAAAGAGGTATTTTATTTTGTTTACTTACTTATCAGTAGTACCTAATACAACAAAGCTTAACTAGTAGTAGATGCTCTTTGAACAACTGCTTAAATATTAACAATGCATCTTTTTATCTATTTTTTCTTAGGGAGAAAACACCATCATTTTTGGAGGATTTGGGTAAGTGCATTCATAGTTCTTTTCCTTTTTTTCAAGATAGGGTTTCTTGCTATGTTGTTCTGACTCACTTTGAACTCCTTAGCTCAAGTGATCCTCTTGCCTGAGCCTCCTCAGTGCTGCAACTATGCAAGTGCACCACCATGCCTGGCTCTCTCACTAGGACAAACACTATTTGTCTTCCTTGACTCATGAACCAAATGGTAACCAGGGTCCCTATTAAAGATATAATAGCAGTGGAGGTGTAGCTCAAATGGTAGAGCATTTCCCCAGCAAACATGAAGCCCTGAAAAAAAAAAAAAAGCCCCCAAACAAAACAAAACACAGAAGGCTGTGTTTTCTGAGGTCAGCAGCTAAGACGCTGTAAGCCTGGAGGGCCTGTGGCATAAACCCACCATTCCCTTCTCCTCTAGTAAGGTGAACAGATATCTATGTTTGGAGCCAATATGGAAAGAGGAGTAGGACAGTGCTCAATTACATGATGAGGGTGCATCCCTTCTTGCTTAAAGGTTAGATTCGATTTTGGCAGAACAGTTACATGCATACATTATCTATACATAAAACAAGTACTGGAGGGAAAAATGGTTTTCATCAAGTTTCCAAATAAGCATTCTTTTTGTTTTATAAGCAGATAATTTGCTGTGTGCTCTATGGTGAGTGATTTAGGTGCTCCAAATTATGAGTGTTCTATATCTGTAAGATAACAACTATCTTGAAGAGTTCTGTGAAGATTAGGACCAAAGTATACAAAGCATGAAATTAAGGAAATGGGCTTTGGAGCCAGGCATGGTGCACACCTGTAATCCCAGCACTTGAGAGGCTAAAGCTGGAGGGATATGAGTTCCAGGGTAGCCTGGGCTATAAGCAATACCCTGTCTCAAAAAGTCAAGAGAAGCACGGGCTTTGGAATCAGATGATGGCACCTATTCTTATACTGCCACATGCTGTGTAACCTTAGGCAAAGTCTATAAAACGCTCGATGCCTCAGCTTAATTAATTGTCAAATAAGCCTATGAAGATTACTTTCTATAAACAGTAAATTCTGTGAGAATTAAGTAACAGCAGAAACCATAAAATGGTACAATAAATAGTACATAATTTAGCTGTAATTTGTTATTCTACAAACTGCTTTCTTAAAACTGCAAACTTTAAAAACCTTGTTTTTGACAATCTCAAGAAGTCTTTTATCTTTTAAACAACAAACCTGTTTTGAAAGCATTGACATTTTCTTCTAACAATTTCTGCTGTTTTTTGTCAGGGGCTGTAGCAAGTACATTGGCTTCAAGTTCCTTAAGTTGGATACTCAGATATTCTTCTTGTTCTGATAAACGCTACAAAAAATATTTTAACAAAGGCCAATATTTTAACTTAGTAACACTAACATTTGTTTGGAACATTTTAATTTATAAAAAAGACAGTTAAAATCTTTAAGACAAACACTAACAAGAAAAGGATAGAAAATAAAAATATAATTTACATTAAAAATAAATAAATAAATAAAAGGCCAAAACCAAAATGCTGTTTTACAAAGCTAAAAACGCCCATTTTAGTTTAACAGATAGAAACTTACAATATACTTAAGACTACCTAGAGTACAATGACTTAGAAAAATAATTTGTATATGCTGCTAGTAGCGTATGAATTAGAACCCAGTTTGATGACAACTTGGCATTCTACAAGAAATGCTTTAAACATTATATACTTACTGTGAAATACTTATATTTTAGGAATTTACCTTAAGAAAATCATTGGATGAGTGTATATAAAGGTATACCTACAAGGGTCTTTCAAACATAGCTATGTATATATAAACATAGCTGTGTTTTCTGTGTAATACAGAAAAACTTTAATCAAAATATAGTAGAAATAAAATGCTCTAAAACAATTGAAAACAAAGGAAATTTACATTGGTTTTGAAAGAAAACCAAATTTATTAAGTGAAGAAAAGTTAATATGACGTTAGAAATCCATGTGTACAGTTTCTATATAGAGATTAATTAGCATGAAAATACTTCACATGCAACTAAATATTTCTTAAAAAATTAAAGTCTACGCATCAAAATTGAAGATGATGATCACCTGGGTATTTTCTAAAAACTTAAAACAGTGGGCACACACTGCTTTTTTCATAATTAAAGAAACAGTCTACTTTGTAAAGGGAATGAAAGAAACAGAAGTATAAGTGCTATGGAAAGCCACGTTCCATTCCTATGTACAAACAGAAAACAGCAGTGGCTGAGGATGGACAATGTGGTAGGGCATTACCCACCAGTGTCCAGGGAAACAAAAGTCATCCCTTACATTTTAAAATCGGAAGCAACTATTAAAAAGGATCTGCTGAATTGCCGAATTCCATTTGTTTCAGATAGTATCTACACACTCACACAAACACGATACCTGGATGCTTGCAGTAAACTTTTCCAGAGTATTCCTCATTTCTCGTCCATTGTGTCTTAACTTCACCACTTCTTCTTCAAGTTGTACTTTCTGCTCTTGGATTTGCATTGCCTTTTTAGAATCTCCTTGTAACTGTGATTCCATTTTATTTACCTACGAAGAAAAGTAGATGTGAAGTAAATTTTTCTCCTAGAGTCATTTCAGATTGAAAGCAAAGTCAACTTAAGAATGAAAAAACTACAAACTTCTGATCTTAAAAACTAGAATAAAAGCCAGGTGTAGTCCATACATCTGTAATCTCAGCTACTCAGGAGGCTGGGAAAAGAGGAGCTCAAGTTTGAGGCCAGCTTGGATTACAGCAAGACATTAAAAACAAAACAAAACAAATCCCAAAAACCCTCCCTCAAACCCAAAAGAACCAAAGATGAGAATAAAATCAAACAATCCCAATATTAAAGCTTGAGAGATGATTAGCAAGTTTCTGCACCATATAAGAAAACTAAGTGTTATAAAGTCACCTCATATTTCAAAGAAAATATAGCATTCAAACACTTGAGTGAAAGGATATAAACTATTTGAAAAGTCAAAGCACATTTTGAAAAACTAGGAATCCAAGGACATCTAAGAACATCTTTTTTTGGGGGGGTGATGGTGATGGTGCTAGGGTTTAATCTCAGTGGTCTCATGCATTTGAGGCCAGAGTTACTCCAATAAGCTCCCCAGATCTTTGGAAATAAAACTTAGGAACATATAACAGAAGTCTTTGTCATATTATACCTTAAAGAATTACTCTGAAATTAGAAAAATACAACACAACAATTTGTTAAAGAAAAACGGTCAGTAAAATAGTACGCGAATGATAAATTGTGAGATATCCATGGTCTAAATGCAGTATCTGACAAGGACATTACTTTACTTTTATTTCTTGGGGGGTTGGGGATGGAACATCCCAACCCTCGTGTGCCTGGTGCATACGAGGCAAAGACCAATGAGCTGCTCCCGGTCTTTGAACAAACACTTTTTACTTAACATGCTTTTAGGACTCGAAAGGGATTAACATAAAAGTATTATTTATATAATTAATAGGAAATTCAATAGGCTAATTTGAAATCTGTGTACAGTATACGTAAAATGACTGAATTTTGGAGCATGTTAAAAAAAAAATTGGGGTACAATGTTACATCTACTGACCTCTTCCTCAGAGATTTCAACGACGACTGATGAACCCATTCTTCCTCTCATCACTTTGCTTCCACCGCCAGTCATTGTACCTGAAGAACATGGGAGAGAAGTCAGCTTTAGATAACTCACCCAACAAGATTAAATAAATTCAATGGCAGAAAAAATACTAAAACAAAACAAAAAACCCCTAGTCTTACCTGACTGCTCTATTATTTGTCCCTGTAAAGTTACCACTCTCCATCTTTTATCCTTTTGATATGCTACTCTTGTGGCTTGATCCAAGTTGTCAGCTACCAAGGTATCCCGTAAAGCAAAGTAAAAAGCCTGGCGAATTTTGTCCTCGTTTACCTTAACTAAATCAAATAAACGAGGAGTATTTTCAGGAGTTTGAATTTTGGTCATTTTTTTGGCCCATACTGCCATCTAAAAGTTAAAAAACAAAATAACAAAATTTATGTATGTATGTAATAAAGAACCATTTCTTCTAGAAGTGAGCCTTCTAGGTATCATGAGCCTAAATAAAGGAATCCACACCAAAAATCTATTAACATTCCTTAGTGAGTTCAGCAAGGTTGCAGGATAGAAGATGGTACAAAAATTAATTGTTATTTTAAACAGTAGCAATTAATTATCTGAAAACAAACTTTACTACAAAGCTACAGTAATCAAGATGGTTCCCTTACACTAGCTCGAGGAATAAAACTGAGAGTACAGAAACAAACCTTTACACTTAGCTGTGGTTGAATGATTTTCAATCATAGTGCCAAAGAATTTCAACAGGGAAAATAAGTTTTTTTCAACACATGGTGCTGAACAACTAGACACTTACTCGTAAAGGAGTAAGGTTAGATCCCTGCTGTATACAATATACAAAAAATGAACTTAAAAAAAAAAGGGCTGGAGTGGCTCAAGTGGTAGAGTGCCTGCTTAGCAAGCATGAGGCCGAGTTCAAACCCTTGTACAAAAAAAAAAAACCTTAAAATGGGTTAGAGACAAACATATAAAAGCTAAAGCTATAAAACTCTTAGAACATAAGCAACTGAAGGAAAAAATAGAAATTTTGAGCTTTATCAGTATTAAAAACTTTTGTGGTTCAAAGGACATTACTAAGAGAGTAAAAATATAACCTAAAGAATGGAAGTATTTATAAAGCACACACCTGACAAGGCTTGTACAATGAATTTAAAGAATTCCTACAACTCAACAATATCAAGACAATTCAATGAAAACACAGGCAAAAGATTCAAACAGACATTTCTTCAACGAAGACAAATAAAAGATGTTTGGCATTATTCGTCACCAGGGAAATGCAAATAAAAGCGCAATGAGAACCACTTCACATTCTACTAAGATGGACTGTAATCAAAGAGATGTACAACAACAAGGATTGGTAAAAGACATGAAGAAATTGGATCCCTTACATATATTGGTGGAAAACAGTATAGCCACTGTGGAAAATAGATGGGCAGCTCCTCAAAAGTTAAAAACAAAATTACCCTATGAGTCAATCATTCCACTGCTAGGGAATATACCCAAGAGAACTGAAAACACATGTTCACACAAAATCTTATACAGTAGTATTATTGCCAAAGCAGCCAAAGAATAGAAACAATCCAAATGTCCATCAACAAATAAACGGATAAACAAAGTGTGGTACACGTAACATATAATGGAATATCATTCAGCAATGAAAAGGGACAGGTTAATGATACAAAATAGATGAACATAAAAAACTGCTTCACAAATGCACTGTATTTATATGAAATGTCCACAACAGGGAGAACATGTACTTCAGTGGTTGTTGTTAGGGAGAAGAGTATGGGGAGTGAGTGCTAATGACTATAAGGGTGATGAAAATAACAACAGGATAATGGTTATGACTGAACAGTCTTGTGGTGCTAGGGTTTGAACTCAGGGCCTGTGCTTGTTAGGCAGGTTTTCTACCACTTGGCCAGGCGTCTGGCCAATAATCCTGTGAATATACTAAATCCACTGAAGAAAAAAAGTGGTTTTATATGGAGGTTAGAAACACAAGCTATCAGTTATTCACACACCAGAATTCCTTTAGTAAAGGTATTCCAGAATTTTTTTTCTACAATCATGTAAAAATCCAGAATGTAAAATAATTCTCCAAACTTATCAGGGCCCACAGAATAATAGTAAAGAAAAACTTGGAATTCAAAGAGGGGGGGAAAAAAAAACAAACCCAAAACACTTGGTACTTAAAAGTTAAATTATATATATGTAGCTTATTATGAATACTCACCTTATCTAAACCTATGAAGGTTGCAACTCCAATATTATGCTTTTTAAGGAAGTTTACACATTCTTGGGCTGTATCAATAGAATCAACAACAATGTAGTCTAATGCATGACAACAAGAAGAAATAGCAACATCGTATTTTTCATCAATAGCTCCTAAGTCCCCCTAATAATTAAGAAGAAGGGCAAAAGTTAATTCATATTCAGAAAGAAATTGGATAAAAAGCACCATTTTATTACCATCCATGGACTTTTAGTTACCTTTTCTCTTTTAAAATATGGTGGTGCTTGGATTTGAACTCAAGATCTTGCACTTGCTAGGCAGGTGCTCTCCCACTTGAGCTATGCACCCAGTCCTTTCTGCTTTGGCTACTGTAAGATTATGTCAGGTATGGCCTGGCTTCTCACATGGCAGGCACTTGAAGATTGGTCATGATTGGCCTCGAACTACGATCCTCCTGACCTCTGCCTCTTGATTAGTTGGGATTACAGTTGTGAGGGCAGTCTTAAAGTTACTTTTAATTGAAAAATTAAATACATACATGGTGTTTAAGCACACAAAAAGGAGCTAGGTGTGGTGACACATACCTCCCAGCATTTAGGAGGCTAAGGCAGGAGAGTGGTAATTTGAGATCAGACTGGGTTACATAGTTCAGTGCAGCCTGCCTGTGCTACACAGCAAGCCCATCTCAAAAACCTCAAAACAAAACAAACAAAACCAAAACCCAAAGACAAAGACAAAGAAAGGAAAAAAGTGTTCCTACCCTGGGGATGGAACCCAGCAAGCTTGGCAAGTGCTCTACCACTGAGCCTACAAAGTTTTTAATCTACTTTTTATAAAAAGTTTATGGATATGTGGTTTTAATTCTTAATGAGCACAGGATGAAAGAACTGTTTTTATTTTGTGAAAACATAATGTAGATACGAGATCTAAAAGTACTATAAGCAAAACAAGGTATAAACTTTTAATTACTGAAAGCCATCCAAGACTATGTAAATCCTGATGAAATATAGTTGTCTGCTATCGATGTACTACCTTAAACTATAGGGCAGTACTGGCTTTAGTCGTCCTTAAGGGCAAATAAATAGGAGCAACCATTTATCTTCAAGAAAATACAGTGGAAGTCACCTGACACCAGAAATAGAAGCAACTGCATGGGTTTATGTTTGTTGTTCCAGGTCATTCTGTTTCCGTCTTTACAATGTGACTTGGGAACTGTGTTAACAGTTCCTTTGGCTCTCTAGCATTAGGCAGTTTGAGTTTATCAGCTGAGACTGCAGCAGGGTAGGAGATGAAGAAGACTAAGGCATTCATTTTTCTTCTTCTTCCAGATCATAGCTCCCTTCACTCTTGAGGCTCAATGGCCCCCAGGTGAGCTAGCCTTGGGGTTCCAGGTTAACCCTTATTGATTTTCCTAAACTATAGCCAAAACCTTAAGTACAATGTTGATAAACTCAGAATATATGAAATATATAAATACATGAAATTTTTTTAAAAAGGAGAGCTTGGTTAAATTTGCTTATCAACTACTAGTTTTGGGTATTTATAAAATGGCTATGGTTGTCTAAAACTAAATAAACAGCAAAAAACTTTGGAGCAAAATGCTTGAAAATGACTGTCCCTTAATATGTAATTAAGTCAAAGTAAGAAGATAATTTACAATGCTTTTCTTGAGAAAAGATATAAGGTCATTCTCAAATAAATCTACTTTACCAATCTTCCATATATTCCTGGAATCCTGCCAGATTTTTTTTCTTGAATTATTGCATCAAGGACTTTCCCCCTACTTCGATTTATTGCTAAGGAACTCTTTGCTTCTTCAACTTTTTGGAAAAGATCATGAACCAAAGTTTTGAAGTGTACTTCTTCTTGTGCAACTTTCTGAAGTTCTTTTTCTTTCTAAAAGTGAAAGTAAAGAAAATGAAAACCAGAAGCATCAGATCCTAAATAGACCAAATGACAGCATATAATTAGCTATAATACTTTGATAATGATAAAGGAATAGGCCAAGAATAGACACATGAATGGGAACTGAGCTTCCATATCAGAACTTTGGCTTTGACGAATATGGACAGGTATCTTGTTCTAAAGGGGGGCATACATTTTTGGGTCAATAAGGGAACACAGTGCAGTAAGGCTCCAGGAGTGGCCCGTCATCTCAATAAAGAACTGCAACTATGGAAGCCTCAGTTTGGGTTCATATATGTTAGGCATAAGCATGCCCCAATTCCTAGGTTCTTCCCTAACTGACAGCAGACCTAGGAACAGGATTTCAAGTATGAGTGCGTGGGCAGTGCTATGGTTATGCTGTTCTTTGCTTTCTGTTAAATAAAAGAGAAATGAAAAAACAAAACACAGCTCAGAAACAAAGGAGAGAAAGACAACTGTGTAGTTCTATTGCTTAACGCCACTGACAAGAGCCACACAGATGGCCACATGCTCAGTTTCCTAGTCTCCAGTTACTAGAAGTCCTCTTTTCTAACTGGTGTTCTCCCCTGATTCCTGGTTTTAAATAATCTTTATAACCTGTTACATAGGCACAAAGTAAAAGCTCAAGTTATAGATATAACTACCACAAACAGAAGTATATAATTTACACTTAAATTGGACACAATCATGAACCTCCCCCCCCCAGAGATAAAATACTGTACATTTATTAAAGTGAATATGACTTGATTGTGTTGGTGGTTATTTGCTATGTGATGCTCCTGGGGAAAAAATCTAGTTAGTTCCTTTCTCCCTCCCTTCTTCTTCTTCTTCTTTTTTCTTTTTGTAGTGCTGGGTATAGAACCCAGGGCCTTAAGCATGCTAGGAAAGCCTTTTACCACGGAGCTATGAGCTATCCCACCAGCCCAGTTTCTTAATATTCTCAATTCATATCATATGAAGAACTAAAATGCTGACTCTGCTCTTTAGAGGTTCTACGAAGTAAAAAAAAAAAAAAAGATACATACATACCGGTCACTTTAGATGCTGAGATTAAAAACAGAAAATACACAAGCAAAGATTTACCTCCTTTAATTCTTGTTCAGCTTGAGGGAGTTTTGCCTCTATGTCTCCGATTGCAGCTTTCCTTTCTTTGAGAGTCTCAGAAGCCGCAATTAAAGCTTCCTTTGCTTTACTTAATTGAGACACTGCAGTATTATGTCGACTGAGATAGATGTCAAGTTCTGACTGGGCTACATCCATCTTAGAGCGTGCTTCATTTACTGATTTGTTGAACCCCATAAGTTCTTTCTCTCGACTCTGTTAAAATACAAGTCTATTAAATCTGAAATATATTTAACCTAAATGTATTTCAAACCTAAACTGAAATGGAAACCACACATTTTAAGAAAGGATATTCTACAAGCATTGTATATAGAAATAAGTAACTCTTACAAATGGAGATTAACAGTCTAGCCTTTACATAGTCTTTCCCCAAATGATGTCCGAAGGGCAAGAGGTGAATCTTAGCATGTTCATTTTTAGACAATGAAACAAAAAAGAAATAATTGAAAGAGAAAAACTTGGGCCTAAAGTTTTGATTCTATGCTTTTCCACATTATAAGAACTACTCAGAAAGTTTCCTCAAGAGTATTTACAAATTGAAAAGTCTTTACATTTTGCTAAAGAATGAAGACCTTAAGTCCTAGTTTTTGCCAACACAGGGTGCAAGGTTCATACAAATACTCAGTGCATATTAAATCAGCAAATGTGCAAATCCACCTTCCCTTAAGTATTCCATCATGAAAGCTACTGCATTACTCATTGCCATTTATCACATAGGTCTACTTCGTAGTGTGATCTTAGAAGATGTCCATATTCCAAAGCAGGATCTACTAAGCTTATGTTCAGCTAATTAAACTACCACTGTCTATTTAAAATTCTATTTAACATGCTCAGCACTGCTGAAAGGCTGTGCTGAATATAAACAAAGCAAACTTCACATTTATATTTTTTGTTATGCACATGGTATCAGTGTGACAACTTCTTCCTGTTGTTTTATTAACCAAGTGATAAAAATAACATAGTTAACATTATCTTACTTTATAGGCACTGTATGTAAATCTACTTAGTTTTTATTTACATAAAACTGATAATATTTTCTTCTTCATCTTGTGGAAGATGTCTTGGAGACCTAACAACCTATGCTAAAGTCGAGATAGTAAGTGATCTAGCCACAACTTTTAACTATTACACATGCTATAAAAACAAAAAGGAAGATGTTATTAATCTGTGCTTGCTGTGGCCCCAGCCTTTAAAGGTAGTTAGTACAGTAGTTACCAAGGAGAGAATATGATTGACTCATGGTGGCTACATGTCAAAGCACACGATATGTTTTCTATCATTACAAATTCTCATTCAGTTAACTTTTTAAAATAGGAGAGCAGAAAACAAAAGGGAAAGAGTCTAGGTTGAATAGTTTTAGGAACTTTGGATACTAAAAGGCTAAAATACTCTCTTTTTTAAGAGATGCTGTCTTACTGTCTTGCCCAGGCTGGCCTTGAATACCCAATCATGCCTCAGCCTTCCAGTAGCCGGGAGTAGCTACTGTGCCTGACCTAAACTTACTCTTTCAAAAGTTGCATTTAGTATTACTGCAAGAACAATCTTCAAGTAAAAAAAAAAAAGCCAAAATCAACAGCGATAAAGAATCTTACTTCTTTTTCTTTCTGAAGCCCTTGTGTTTCTTGTTTAAGGCTATCCATCACTTCCTTTAATTTTTTTTCTTCTTTCTCTTTTTCCTTCTCAAGGGAATTGTTTCTAGTTGTTGTCTCAGTTATGATATTCTTACTCTTGGCAGGTATACTTTTAAATTCTTCAACCTGAGATTATAAACCAAATTGTTACTGGAGCATATTCCTTAGGCTACCCAATACAATCAAAATTGGACCATTTTAAAAATGATTTCTTGGGCTGTAGGTGTAGCTCAATGGTAAGAACACAAGCTCACATGTACAAGGCCCCGGGTTCAATCTCCAGCAACGCCCCACTCCCCAAATTATTTCTTAGGAGATCTAGGCTTTCTTTTTTTTTAAAGTCTATTAGCTTCCAACACTTTAGTGCTTTCCTTGTGAAGTAGTCTGCTGATATTACTTGTTTTTTTAAAATTATTATTATTGCTGTACTGGGTGGGGGTACATTGTAGCATTTATAAAGCTTGAATTCACCCCCTTCACTGTTCTTTTATCCTCCTTCCCCAATTCCTGGGACAGTTTCAATAGGTGTCACTTTTACATTTACATACACGTGTATACATTGTTTGCACCGTATTCATCCTCCTACCCCTTTCCCTGCCACCCCCTCCACAGAACCTGTTCTGCCTTCTTATTCTGATTTTGTAGAAGAAAAAACATAAAAGTTATTTTAAAAATTCATGTATTTATACTTTATAATTGGATTTTAATTGGTACTAACAAATATTTTCCCATTCAATGTAATTTCTGAGTTCTGTCAGTCTAATGGTATTGATTCACTAACGAAAGAAAATTTTTCCTGGCAAAGTTTTTAAGTCTGGTTTCCATCACTCCTGATTTCAGGATATAATTATCCTTTCACTATAAAGATGCTCCAAATATACATGTAGTTTTCCTATGGTATATAATAAGGTACCATATATTATCATTTTTCTTTCCTACCCCACCCCAATCCTAAAATTGCTCAGAACTTCTCCCTTCTAGTCACCAGAAGTTAAATTAATTAATATTTTATCCTATTAAAACTTTCTGATAATAATCACTTAACCACATTTTTTTGTCAAAATGCTAATACCTTTTTAACAGTGACACTTGGCTTAGCCTAACTTGGGAAATATCCCAAAGTCTGTGTTTGTTTACTCTGATTGTAAACAGAAGTTCAGAATTTCCCAAAATGTTCTAGAAACATTGATTCAATCCTCTTTGTTAGCTATGCTGAGTACAAACTATTTTGTTAACAAATACATTTGAAAATGCTTATAAGGTAATATAAAGCCTAAGCTGACATTTTTGTGTCACTATATGGAGCAAAGCTGTTTTATTAATTAGCATTTTATTCATATCTGATAAAGTTATGAATGTAGTTTGAGACCTAAATTACTTTTATTACAGTCTGGCTCTAGCTAGTTAGATTTCTCCCTATTCTGGTCCAAACTTCATTTTTCTTTTCTTTTAACCCCAGAATAGATAATCTCTCACTTGTAAAATTATGAGATTTCTTCCCCATCTTTGCTTAATGGGTAATTTATCCTCTGGTCTTTTTTAGCTTGACTTTTTTTAGGAGGCAGGCAATATTTTAAAGTCTGTAATACCTCATCAAGAATGCCCTTTTCAACCACTGCTCTACAGTAGAAAACTATCATTATCACCAGAATTGTAAATGATTTCCCAACATTTTATTCTATTATATGTTCTAAAACTCAAAGCCAATATATATACATAAGGTTTCTCTTAGGGAACAAAATCATGTTTAGAGATAAAACATTTGACATACAGAATCCTAATTCATTCTTTTAGGCGACAAGGGGCAAGCAATTTGTGAAAAAGAAACTAGACCTAATGTTTTCGGTTTTTTTCAATACCTACCTTTTCTTTCTCTTTTTGAAGTTGTTTGTCCAGTTTTTTGGCTTTACTTGAGGCATGTTTTAGTTTCTCCCTAACTTGAACATCTTCCAAATCTAGCTGTGTAAATTTTTCTTTATTCTCCTCAATAAATTTTGTAATTTTATTCAGTTTCCTAGCAAAGCAAGTAAATATCAGTGGTTATTTTGGATAGTCAGTTATTTTAAAACCATATGATATACCCTTCCTGGGATGCTTCTTCTCTATATATGTTCAAGCTCTTATTAAGTAGGATCTTAAAACTTTCCATCTTCCAAGCTGACCTTAAATGTTTAAGATGTTAAAATTCTTTAGTACAAGAGTTTTTACTTTTCTAAGATGGAAAGGAAATATAACATCTTCAAGTGATTTTGTCTTGGTATATGAAAATTTTATCATGGAAGTAAAAAGAAAATTAAACTCACATAGGTAAGAGATACTAGTGCCATTTACTACTGGCACAGAATAGGGTTATGATAAAATTTAAAAAAAAAAAAAAAAAAGTCTATTGGGCTGGAGGTGGCTCAAGTGGTAGAGTGCCTGCCTAACAAGTGCAAGGCTGAGTTCGAGTTCAAGCACCAGTACACCCACTCCGTCAAAAAACAATTCCTATGTAGAATAACCCAAGTTCCACCTCTAAATCAGATTTCTGAACTATTAAAAGATCAACCTGTCAGGCCAAATACTTGTTTTTAGTTTTGTTACTGTATTCAGCCACTAGGGGGTGGCATCTCTCCACTATTGAGAACAAGAATTGGCTAATCCGTAACAATGAGTTGTACGTAGGGCAATAAAGTATTTTTTCTTCTTTGGCAAAGAGGAGATAATCCATCTTATATGCTGGCAGAGGTATCACACTCAATGTGCTAGCAGTTAGTTTACATGTAGACACACATGTGATACAATCAACTGAATCTAAATATTTGTAATACTTTCCAAAAGATTATTACTTCTCTACATCTTTTACAGCTTTATTCTTAGCTTTCATTTCATTTGAAAGTATACTGCTCTTTTCATTAATTTCTTTGGTATCTTCATTAATTTTTTCCTTTTGAGTTTCCATCTCAGCAATTCGTTTCTGTAGATCATAACTGGAGAGGAAAAAAAAATTAGAGATTCTAAAATGCCTTTTCTAAAACTGTATAACTATTTTAGTAAAATCAGTTCTTTCTGAAGTATTTTGAAATCCAGTGAATTTATAATTAATTAGGATCCTTTCCAGGATCAAAGCTAGAATTTAGGAATAGATTCATTGTAAACAAAATTTGAAAGAAGGGACAATAGTCCCTCTTCATCAACATTTTGCTGTTCACAGTAAAGCATCATCCTGAAAATATTAAATGGTAAATTCCAGACATAAACAATGTATTTGTTTTAAACTGAATTCTGCCTTGCCTTGTGAATCTTTGATCAGTGCTGTAAACTATACACTTCACCTCAATAGTCACTTTGTAGCCATCCTGGTTATCAGACTCAACTCTAAAGTGTTTAAGTCATATTAATAAATGCTAACAAGACTCTGAGGCATAAACTATGGAAGGCCAGATTAACCCTGCACATTGTGGCACTGCTGTAGGGCATAGAGGGAAACACGTAAGATGCGGCATTACTCTTGGTTTCAGGTATCCACTGGAGATATGTGAAAAGATCTCTGCATATGTAAAATTATTAAAGATAATATATAAACACTTGTGAAACTATATCCCAACTTAAAGGAGGATACTACGTAGTCAAAGATCTCATAAAAAACCCTCTAATTTATTGAATTTAGCACTTATTTTTCACAGCAATCTCATTTCTTTACTACAGGAAAAAGAAGGGTTTTCATTTAATAGTTCTACAAACAATGAGTAAGGTACTTACATATAATATTGACAAACATGATTCTTTTTTTTAAATATTTCATTTTCTAAGGTAAGAAATTCAATGGCTATGTTTTTCTCTCCTTCTAAGGCATCCTTTTCCTTTTCAACCATTTTAACTCTGTTTAACTAAAAAAAAAAAAAAAAAAGTACACTTTAAAGATTCAATATACACTTCATATGTACATTTTGATTTTAAAATACTCCAATATTAGCTAAAGGAAAAAGACATCCTAATAAAGAACATGTTCATCTTAAAAGCTGACAATATAATACAAAGTTCAATCTGAAATAGTATTCTTTAGTGATTACGTTTGTAAAATTAATTTATTCATAAATGAGACATTCTCATTTACAATAAAAGGCTACAGAAGATTCACCTTCTCTCCTCTGTGTTCATTTAATATTTCAACTCTCCGACACAAGACTTTAATTGGTTCATTTAGCCGTCCACAACCAATGATATCTTCTAAATATTCAAGCATACCCTCGTCGTGTTCAGTCTGGCCTTTTGGTTTCATCATAGCAATCTGTTCAACTTCACCCTTTAAAAAAAGCCATATTTCATATTTATTGTATATGTTTTGCTAACTCAATCTTATGTGAGAATTAGGGTCAATTAACAAAACTAATTAGTAATAACTAACTACGTGATATTAAGTAGTTTAAAAAATTTTTAAGAGGTAAGACGAGTTTTTACATTTCATATAAATTCTTATAAAATTACAATGTACACAAACAAATGCACACAGAGCCAAAAGAATGTTTCCCAATAAGAGTGTTCTTTCAGTGTAAGTAAATAACTTTCCTACTAAGCCAAATTAAAGTTCCTGTTCTAAAACAGAATTTTCAAGACCTTGGTTAAACTGTACAAGGAACCCTGCCCTAGTGCAGTTTCACTCTTGATACGGGTATATAGTTTCTTTATAGACCTGGTGTTTGAGTTCCTAAACATGTGATGTGCTTCACAAGATGCTTAAAATTTAATGTTCTGATTTTCTAAAAACAAGAGCCTTAAGTGGAAGAGGAAATTACCTATGTCTCATGGTAATAATGAGAGACACTCAACTGATCACCTTGACTGGCACTGGTATATGACACAGGAAAACTTTTGTTTGCAATCATTAGCAACTTTAGCTATAATTAAAATCTTAGATTAACCCAATATATTTGTATTTAATTATGCAATTACAAAGACAAAAGAAAAACCTACTATCAGTAGCCATCAAGGCCAACTGTCAGGCAACCATCTGGTTTGACAGTCTCAACAAGTTCAGGCAAACTGCTATTGCTAATTTACAGAAGTGGCCTGCTTGTACTATGTACTCTGTAATACAAGGGATTGGCAGGCAAGTGAAAAAATAAATCTTGTATTTTCAGCAAAATGGCTAAGCTAAAGGCAAGAAAAAGAATCACTCATTAATGACAAGGTGTCGTATTTTTTAAAAAAGCCTTAACATGGTAAGTTAAAAAAAAAACAAAGACAAAAACAAAGCTTACATACGATGAGAAAAACAGCTCACTGACAGGCAAACTTTGTAATAGTTTTATATATCACATCACATTGGACCTGGACAATCCCTTAGCACTATGTGATTAAGTATAAAATGCAATTGTCATCCAAAAGGACTGTTATTTATTCTATGTAATATTATATGTAAAATTATAGTATGTTATGTATGAATCAAGGTATAAATAGTTTACACAGGTGAAAATATTCTTAATAGCACCATGTATTTTCCTGGCCAAATTTATTTAAGAAATGGAGTACAGCTATGAGGAAATAACCCACCTTTGGGTTGTTTTATTTTTCCCTTTCTTCAAAATTAAGATATAGGATATAAAGCTGATTGCCTCTGTAGTAAGGATGTCAATTAAATAAAAAGTTAAAAGTTCACTTATGAATCAAAATAGTTCCACCTCATGACCCACACATTTTTGGATGTTCTACTGTATTGCCTTTCTTTTGGCTTAGCACTACTGAGTCAAAGGGTGTGAACAGTTAGGTCTTCATTCGTCTTTTGACTATGAGGACTGCTGTGGTTTTCTAGAGACAACTTAGGACTTTTCTTGTGGTTTTGCTCCTTGATGTCCCCTACATGGTCTAATACTTGCTACTCTGCTTTCTAATCCTTATTCTACTTTGTGTTATCTGCAGTGTAACCTGTGGGATGACAGTATGACAGTCTGTGCCTAGAAGACTACTTATTTTTCAGGAAACTTACCTACCCACGTGACATATAAAATTATTTTCATGTAGGTCAGTAAGCTCAGTATTATCTCAGAAACTATTTGTCAAGGCTCCAAATCACAAGTAGCGATGGAATAATGACATAATAAGATATTTCAAGTCGTCAATACACGCACACTGTTTTCTCAGTGGTGTAGTGCTTGCCTGGCATATGTGAGGCCTTGGCTTTAACACCCAGCACCACAAAACAAAACAAAACAAAACAAAAGAACAACAACAAAAGGCTTAATTACTGAAGGCTTAATTGGGTACCAAACAAGGATATTGTGATTCAGTTATACATTGTTTGATATTCTTATTTATAGGAATATAGAGCTTGGAAATCTAAGAGGAATGAATAGTAAGAGCCCTGTATCATTATTAAAATGAAATCCAAACTTTAGCAAGCATGAACTATAGAAAACTTAAATAGCATATAGTTATAATACGTGTGTTCACATCAAAATTAAATGACCCAGGCTTTAAATTTTTTTGTTGCAGTGGCTGGAGATTCAACTTAGGGCCTCACGCATGTTAGGCAAGTGCTCTACCACTGAGCTAAAATTCCAGCCTCTTGGGCTCTGAATTTCTATTTTGTCTTAATAATCTTCACATCTATTCTGGTTGCTCAGGGGCAGCTTCTTATTTATTTTTTTTTCCAGAGTTGGAGTAGTGATTCAGACACCTGTGGAAAAGTGAGGTATTACTGAGAAAGCCCCACAATTTCTTTTCATATTATAGCCATATACTTTATTCATATAGAACCCAAGTAGTATATGCCATGCCAACCTTGAGAAGCACATTGAAAAATGCCAAAGCAGAAAACAATTTAGTTCTTAAACTTTTTTTTTTGTTTTTTTTTAGAGACAGATTCCCTGTCTAACTCAAGCTGTTCAAACTCAAGATCTTTCTGTATCCACCCTCTGAGAGCTGGTACACTTAGCACTGTATGATCATCATACCTGGCCTTTTAGGTTTTTGTAATACAAAGAGAAAGCACACTAGGTTGGGCCAGGCGCAGTGGCATGCGCCTGTGATCCAGGTACTTGGGAAGTGGAGACCATAGAATCGTGGTTTGAGGCCATTTTAGGCAAAAAGTTGCTGAGATCCATTTCATCAAATCAAGTATGGTGGTGTGTGCCTGCAATCCCAGCTATGCAGGAGGCGTAAGTGAGAAACGCACTGTCCAAGGCTAGCCGCGGGCAAAAATGTGAGACCCTATTGGAAAAACAACTAAAGCAAAAAAGGGATAGAGTATGGCTCAAGGTGTAGAGTACCTGCCTAAGCAAGCATGAGGCCCTCAGTTTAAACCTCAGTTCTGTCTAAAATTAGACAAATAAATAAGTAGGCACACAAATTGAAACTTTTGACAAAATTAAAATTATGTTAGTAGCTGTTGCTTTTAAGGAGTTTACAAAAGCACTCCTGAGACAGCAATCATTAATACAACTTTGAAGTGTAATAAAAGCATTAAGGTTATAATTTTACACTTAAATGGAGCAAAACCAATTACATCTAATTAATATGTCATAGTTACTGAAATATACAGAGGTAATAGAACTCCTTGTTTGGACCATTGGTTATTACAATGTAGCCAAGGCTCCCCAATAAAGGTACAGTATATATAAAAGGGAAAACGTATCCTTTCCTTATGGAAATAAAAATAAAATGGTCAATCACAATCTAACACTTTTTGAGGGAACGTATAAAAATGTTTTAAGAACAAGAAATGGGGCTTAACCATCTTTATATTACTTATAACATCTTAGCATAGTGTCTTATTAGAAACGCATTTGAATGGTCAACTAATGAAATTTTAAGTGGATCCAAACACTAGAAATGCTTACTTAAAAAACCCACCAAACCAATATATAAACACTGTAAAATTTTTTTGCTCTTACGGATGTCTAAATCAAGCACAAATCTTAAAAATAAATGTTTTACGTTTACTAAGCTCAGATTACTTGGCGGAGGAGGGGGTTCATTACTACCACAGTCCAAACAGTCTATTTTATTCGAAGTAATCATTTATGTTTGGATGCTGATATAATTTCTCAGCCTTTCCAGTCATGGGTAGTTTTATTATTTATTTATTTATTAAAATAAATGTTAGTTGCTGGAAGGGAATGTAATTAAAAAACTGCGATCTTACTTACCTTCAGATCTCTAGTGTAAGAGGCTAAGAGTGTGGCAAGGAGCTAAAAGCTCCATGGAAACCAAGGTTACCCCCAAATTAATAGTACACCATTAGTTCTACCTAGTCCAATTCCTGCTTCTTCTTTCTAACAGGTGAATTGCTAAGGCTCTTATCCATAAATTTAATCAAATCAAACAATCTTTTAACTTGGAAGGTTTATCCTGGTATTATTTGGGAAGAAATGTTTTAAACAATTTGTTAAGAACAAAGAAAGGTTCAGATTATTGTAAGGACAAATGGCTCAAACACCCTAAGTACTTTAGAGGCATACTTTTAATATAAATCCAACAATTCATTAATTACTCTTATTTACTTTTTGGGGAAATTATGATAACCTTCCTGCATTACTCAATTATGTACAAAGAAGCAGCACAGAGGAAAAAAAATTGCCTTTGGAAGAGCTAAAATGCAGTCCACTTTATTTTGATGAAGTCTTTGCACAGATAAAAAACTGATTATCACAAGATGATAGTAAAGAAATAGCAAAGAATAAACAAAGTATAATTCCCTGAAAAATGTTATTATTAAATTTAGTATTATGAAGGGATAAACCTTTGTAATAAATCAAATTTCATAATATCAAAGTCCATAGTTTGATTTCAAAACAAACAAGAACCACATAATACTTTAAGCCTATATTTACATAAATCCAGATCTTGTTTAGAAACATATCTGCAACTTAATTCTCAACATTCATTTTTAATTCAGTTTGGGTCACTGAAGTATTACAAATATACTGGGCCTGGTAATAAAGGGTAGTAATTAAGGTTATTCCAGAATGTTGATCTGCTTTTTATACTATATGTCTAAAAATAATATTAAAAACATGAATGAAAAGCAGACTAAAATGTTTGAAGTGGGGTTAACACCTCAAAAATGTATTACTGGGAACAATCAGTCACCCAACATTCAGTATCAAATCAATATTCCCAACTTATTTAAAGACCAGCAGCAGCACAAGACATTACAGCATATTAGCAGCCATTTCTGCATAATGAAGTAGTTTTTTCATATTTTGCTCTTAAGTGATTCTGGATAGGGCACAGGAATAAGATGATGTCCTGAAATCAAACATGAATTTAAAAACATCTGACAAAGCCAAGATTTTACACAAATAACATTTTTTTCTGGAAGATGAGACATAGGAAAGAAAAAAACAATGCTGGTAGAATATACCTTTACTTATAAAAGTACTGTTTCTAATAAAAATCAACTTTATACCAGGCACCTACTTTTTATACCATTAAAAAAAAAGACTTGTTCTGTAAGAGTAGTGATATCTAAGAATGCAGTATCAATAACTTTCTGATTTACCAATAGTAGTGGTTCAATATAGTAAGCCATTCTAAACAAAACAAAAACTAATCTGAGTAAACTTTTAGGTTTGGGTGAAATGTTAAAAAAGATTAAATTAGTTTAATGCTTAGGAAAATTTGTTAAATACCAAGTACACAGATTTGTTTTCTACACTGAAAAAGTAAGAATAAAGGAAGAGAGACTACTAAAAGATAACGGACCTCATTTCAAATGTTATCTTAAAGGGAAATACAAATAATGATACATAGTTGCTATATCCCTGTCACACTAAAGCAGCACAATAATATTGGTGTGTAATATTTATTTCACTACGCCAATATTTACGTGCTGCTAGAGCGGAACAAGCATGTCAGCCTAGGCAGATGCAAAATGACAGGTGCTGATGCAAACAGAGTTCTGAATGGATCTCCTTAAATTTCTAGAGCAGCAAATGATGATTCGCACCTTGGCTGTGGCATGTAAACCATGATGTGCTGCTACAGTACTTTAAGGTCTCAAAACACAGGAGCCATCCAACAGAGGAAGCCTCCAGCTTTATTGGAAAACAAAACAAACCAACAACAAGAAAATCTCTTAAGTCTTTAATAAATTTACCTGCAAGATCAAAAATCTATTGTGGTCCAAGTCAATTCCATGGCTTCGAAGAAGATTTCCAACATCTTTAAATGTCTTTTTCTTCCCACTTATATGATAGACAGAAGTATTATCTCTGTAGGCCGTTCTAGATACATAGAAGTTACTGTTAGGAATGACTTCATAATCATCCCCTTCCTGTTTTTAGGAAAAACAAAACCAGAAAACAACTATTGGTATTGAGTCACAGGTCTGCTTCAAATTCACTCCACACTGAAATTATTTCTATGAATAAAAAAACACTTCAATAGAACATGCACAAGAACTGGCAGTAGTTTTCAAGAATAACCTTGCTTAACAAAGAATAGATACTGTTCTAAGTTGGTTACTTTCTCAAAAAGCCCCCAAGAACAAAAGCCAAATCAAACAAACCAAAAGCTTCAGCTCCAAAAAAAGCCTAAAAATGTATTTGACTGGTAAGAGCCAACAAAGGTGGAGAAAAATCTCCCCACATCCAAGAGTCCCAACCTCAGTTAATAACCAAATTGATGGATTAGATTACTACTGCATTTTAAAGAAGCTACAGGAAGGGATGATTCAAGGAAATAGGAAGAAGGTAGAGAGATACATTTTTTTGGGGTGATACTTTTTTTTTGGTGGTGGTAGTGGGTGAAAGAATGTGCCAGTATTTAATCGAAGGTAAAAAAAAAAAAGAACTGTTAATAATTTGAACTACATTCCTGATTTAAAAAAAAAAATCAAGTAAGTACAAATCCATTTTAACATTAAAACACACTTATCCTTACTTCAAAGCTGTCATACTGAAGCTATGGTTTTTAAATTTTAGATGAATCAAATGTAATTAATAGGTAATGAAGCTGGTGGAGTGGCTCAAGTAGTAGAGCACCTGCCTACCAAGTGTGAGTCCCTGAGTTCAAATCCTAGTGCCACCAAAACCAACAACAAAAACAAAAAAAGCAAAAAAAAAAAAAAAAAAAAAAACCTGATTTGTTGGCATTATATTTTTTAATTCAAACTGTACAATGGAACAAAAAAGCAAAATTAAACTAGCTGCTTCTGTGTAACTAAAGCCCTTTATATTAAGGAAAAAAAAACAATTAGCTATGTCACCTTTCCATTTCATTATGTAATTATATTCCTTCATTTTGAGGTTTTAGCCTGTCATTTTTTGAACTATGAATTTCCTAACTCCTTAAGACAGAAGCATTGTAAATAATCTAAATAGTTTACCTATGATTGTCTCTATTTCTAGAAAACAACCATGTCAGCTTGAAATTCTCCCATTTCAAAACAGCTTAATTACAGTAGTTCAAACTGAAGAAAAGCTCTTTCATATCACAGATACACAGGAACACTAATAACAAATTTAACGTGCACTGAAATAACAGAGATGGTAAAAATCAGCCGAATATTACATTTTCAAGATTAGGTAATTTATTCTAATAAACATCAAAAATGTAATTTAAAAAAGGAACCCAAAATTCACAGTAAAAGAATGCCTATTTAGCACTCGGATCCAGAAACTGTTCAATGTGTTATTCCAAAAAGAGTAGGATTGCTGAGCTATTTATATTTATAACCCATTTTCCTGACTAAAAATTTTCATGTTTTATAGTTAACAGCCATTACCACTCCCCCAAAAGAAAACATGGCCTCGGAGGTAATGAAATCGTTACCTCTTTTGTTTTAATTATACACAAATTTTTCAAAGCTGATTTAAGCAACAACAAAATATGCAATGTACTGAAATCCTTTGTCTCCCTTACTTGAAGTTGCAAATAGAAAAAAAAAATCCCTTACCTTATCAATTATCTTTTGAAAATGAACTTCTACAGTACAACTCTGAATATCCTTGTGTTCATCAGAATTATGTATCAGCACTGACAGTTTTTTAGATCTTATTTTTTGTGCTCGATAGCCAAACACAAAAAGCATAGAATCAATAACATTGGATTTGCCACTGCCATTTGGCCCAATGATACAGGAAAAGCGCTGCATAAAAAACAGAATTTTTTTTTAAAGTTAAAGGTCATACTAATACTGATTTTAACTTTAACTTCTTGATTTTTTTACTTGCAGTAAAAACTACAGATATTTATAAGTTCTCATTATTAGGATTTACACAACTTGAGTTTTCTTACATCACGTTCTCTATCACAGGCTTCAACACCTTAAAAAAACATGCTCTAATTCTAATCCAGACTTTTTACAAAACTCATTCTAATAAAGGGAAAATACTCCCTTCAAACAGAAAGACTGTGTTCTATTCAGCGGGGAGAGCGTTATTGCTAAAGAGGTACTAAAGCTACTAGAAAAACAAAGGCTAATTTCAGTTATTAGAAGCATAGGCAACCTGGACCGTTCTGTGGTTATTTGAAATGGGCAGATACCTTATGGAAAGGTCCCAGAATTTTTTCCCCAGCATAGGACTTGAAGTTCTGGTTTACAATGTGAGTTATCATGAGCCGAGGAGCTCCAGCTTCATTGGTCATTGCTGGAGGCGGGGGTGGAGGAATGCTACTCAAAATCTCTTCTAGACTTCTGTCATCAAGCTCCTCACCTGGAGTCTCTGAATTGTTAAAGGCAGGGCAGGGAAGGCGGGGGAAAAGCCTGCGTTAGTGAGTGAGATCGAGGACTGCCGCTGGCTGACATCTCAAACACGGAACGGGGAGATGGATGCTACTAGCAAACCTGGGTTCGGCACTTTCCAGCAAATGCAGTGCTACCCTAACTCTCAGCTTGGCTTTATTAAAAAGGAACTCAAGAGAAATACCAGCAGTCATAAGATCCTACGCTTGTACATTACCGCCGCACCATCCCGCCGCGCATCCCGACAGGAGGAGAGGCTGGAGACCAGCGATCCGCGTCCCGAGCGCCCGAAAACTCAGGGGCTCCAGCGACACTGTCGCGGGGTTCACATCGTCGCCCACTTCCTAGCCTCCAAAAGTTACCGTGGTTCAACTAGCGCCCGAAAACTCAGGGGCTCCAGCGACACTGTCGCGGGGTTCACATCGTCGCCCACTTCCTAGCCTCCAAAAGTTACCGTGGTTCAACTACACCATCGCCTTCTCTTTACAGGCAAAGCACATCGGCGCGGCGGGGGCGAGGCGATGCCGGGGATGTCCCCGAGGTCCAGCCGGGTCCGGGAGCAGCAGCCCCCCCATCCCGCTGGCTCACGGCGGACCCCACCCTCCGGCGCCCGGGTCCCCGGGGCTCACCTGCGGCGGCGGCGGCTGGGCTCTGGGCGCCGCCGGCCGGCGGCTCGGGGTCCGCGTCGCTGCTGGCGCCGTCGGGGGACGGTGGCGGTCCTTCCTCCCTGCGCCGGGCCGTGGAGGGCTGGGAGCCTCTGCGGGGCATGGCTGGGGCCGGGACGGGCGCGGGGGGGGCCAAGGTCACCACGGGGCGCCCGCCCGCCGCTCCCCACAATCCCGTCGGAAAACCCCGCTCGCAGCGGCGGGGGCGTCAGCACGGGGGCCACAAAAGCCAGTGGCAGCAGGGCGGGACCCACGCATGGGACAACCTAGATGTGCCTGGAAGCCGCTCAACGTCTGCGCGACAGCTTAGGTCTCTTTCCTTTCTTAAATCGCCCCCGCGGCTCGTCCACGGTCCCCCTAAGGCGGCTCAACTCCGTCACCCGTACGGGCGACATCGGCTGACATTCCCACGCGCCTGACTTTCGGAGAGGAGCTCGGGGTCGTCAACTCTTTCCAGGAGGGCGAAGACTACGCTCGCCTCCCGTCTCCCCGCCATTTAGGTCTGGGCGCCGGGACATTCGAGTGTCCCTCCCGCACATCCCCGCGGGAAGGCGGCCCGAAGCTGGGGATCCACCACTAGCCACTTCCAAAGCGGGCGCTGGCAACATCTGCTCGGGTTCGGTCATTTCGGGTTTGTCTGTCTCGAGGCCCACTGGACCGTAAACCTTGGAAAGTGACCAGACAAGGCTGAGACCCGGCGACGAATCCCTTGGGAGCCGCCCTGTCCCCGGCCGAGCCCGAGCCCAGGATTTCTGAGAGCAGATCCGCGAGGCTCGGAGCCGCCCGGAGAGACGCTCAGGCAGCTCGGAGGCGGCGCGCGGAGCCCCCGCCGCGGGGAGCGGCGAGGGGGGAGGGGTGACAGCCAGCGACTCCCAGCAGCAGCCTCAGCCCAAGGCCTCTACTTTGCAGGGGCCCGCGGACAGGGCAGGAAGTAAGAGCGTGACAACTTGATCAGGAAAAGTACTTTACCTGTAGGACAGTCCACTCACACCAGGGCTGGAGACGCTTGTACAGACTTGCCCCCCTCCCCGCTCCTACCGGTGTTTCGGGTCCGGGTCCTTCACTCGAAAATGGCGCCTAAAATACAAACTCGAACGGAAATTCGTTACAAATGCGCGCAATGATTTCTGGGAGCCATAATTTGAAAAAAAGTGCGGCGATCAGCACCGCCATCTTCTGGTCGCTCATGCGCATGCGCGAAGTCCTGGCGGGACCTAGGCAGAAGGGGAAGTGTCTGAGTGAATAGGGAGAGCGAGGAAACGTTTTTCCTGTGATCGGCCACAGAAACACTGTTATTGAAACTACACTACTTGACACTGTTGTCGAAGCTACAGCATTTGAAAAAACGATATGGTGAATTTTGAAAAAGAGGAAAAAACGTTGTAGGGTTTCCCTCAGAGCAGGAGGCGGGGCTCAGCTAGCCAATAACACCCCTTAAGGAGAGGGCGGGCTCGCTTTGGGGGCGGGGTCTCGGGCCCGCTCAGATGACGCGCCTCTGGGAAGTATCGCGGGAAGTGGGAAGAGGGAGGGAAAGTAGCGCTTAGAAGTCGCTATGGTGACGGAAAGGTCGGGAGGTTTACTGGCAACTGGTCCCAGCTTTCAGAGTGGTCGCCACGGCTTTCCTGGAACTTGAGGTAAGTCATCTGTCTCCAGACCTTTTGAGGAAGGGGTTCGGAAGTTGTAGCTGTCATTTTATCCTACCTTCCTTTGCTTCGTGGAGATCAGTTATTTTCCATCCCGTGGGACAGTGGGGCACGGGGTGTGTAGCCCGTGGGATGCGGAGGTGGAAGCCCTCAGTTTTGGAAGGGAATAGAGGGAAAACGAGAAGCCTTGGATTAGTGAATGATCGTACCGTCCACATATGAATCGCAAAACCATGATTTTCGAGTTATTTATATTAGTTCATTGGTGTTTCTAGTAAAAGGGCATTTCAGACTTTTAGCTCATTTGACCAAAGGGCTCTTAATAGGAGAAACGTTTGCCCGTGTCTTCTGGTTATCTTTAAGAGGGGATAATTATCGATCAACAAGTATTTCTGAAGTAGCTTTTGTATGCATTGCACTGTGCAGGGCATAATCAGGATTATTAAACAAGTGTGATGGTTACAATTCCTAGAGAATTTTTGTTAGCGGACTTCTAACCTGGAGTCTGTAACTGTGGTGGTAGGTGACTGGAATTCAGAGTTCATAACTTCCTTGAAATAGTATGCAAAATTATGTGCTTGTGCATTTTTCTGGAGAGTTAGTTTTCCTACAATTTTTATTACATTTTCAAACGTGGTCCTAATCTCCCACCATCTTGATTTGACTATCTGCGGTATTTATTCAACAGCTTATATGTTGAGAACCGCATGCCTCCTTAAAACAATTTTTTTTTTTGCATACTTAGGGCCTGGTGTATGGAAGCACCAATAAATCTGCTTTAAGAATGAATTTGCATTGTTACATATGTTAATGAGCCTTGCACCAAGTAGCATACAGTTTTGGTGATTCTCAGGAGTGGAGAGGACACTGCTAAGTGTAAGAATTTGGTGGGGTTGGGAGATTGGTGTGACTTGAATGAGCATTGACTCAATATTATAGTATACCTGTGTATTTACAGGTGGAAAAAATAATTATTTTCACAAAACAAATGACAAAATAAAACTCAATGAAAAAAATTTTGGCTGGCACACATATCAAGATGATACAGGGATTCTCTTTGAGGACTGGAATATTTTGCATTTTCACAGGTTGTAAAACACTACAAAACTGGAGCAGAGTAGATATGCTACATGAACAAATTAGGTAGTGTAGATGAGGGAATTGAGTAATGTAGATGGGGGAATTGAGTAGTATAGAGCACAAAGTAGTAGAAAAATGTAAATAGAAAACAGAATTCCAAATCCTATAATTTTTTAGCTATATACCTGGGTAGTTTACTCACTTCATCAGTATCCCTGAGGGCATTTATTTATAAAACAACATACAACCTACCTTATAGGATTGTTTGTAATTGTTTATCTAACACACATAAGCATTTGATGTTGCTGTGTTATGACATTAGGTGCTAAGGAATGAATAATGGGATATCAAGTTAGAGGAATAGTAGCTTATGTAGGATCTGGAAAACCAAGTCAAGAATATTACATATAAGTTAGAAGAAACAGTTATTAGAAAAATTTTGAGCTATGAACGACTTGGTTAAAAAAAAAAAAAAAAAAAGAAGAAAAGGGCCAGGGATGGTGCACAGGCATGCACAGCACTCTGGAGGCTGAGGCAGGAGGATCAGGAGTTTGATACCAGCCTGGGTTACTTTTTTTTTAAGACCCTGTCTTAAAAAAGTAGGAAGAATAATTAACAGTAGTTATATGGGATGTTTTAAAGGGAAAAGAGATCAGTCATGGCTTTAGATTGTTACTGTATAGTCTTCCACGTGAGAGGTGAGAAGTACCTACACAGAAAGAAAATAATTAAAATTTATTTTGGGGAAGTCTGTTGCTTTTAAAGATTTTGATGAGAATAAACCTTTAAAATCAGGGAGAATCACTTCTTGGCTTTTTGGCTAAGATCAAGTGTAGTACAGTCAATGAGGTCCTATTCCTTTTGAACCCTTGAATTAGTGAGGGGATAGGAAAAATAAGTGAGGGATACATCCTAGTTTTTCTTCTGTGGATGATTGCTGTCAATATGGAAGGTCTTACTGACTGATGTGAAAGGAATGTGGTTTCAATAAATCAGCTGACTGATAGCCTTAAATTTAATTGAGCCTAACAATGCCCAATTCAGCATAAACAGTTTCAAAATAGGCTTAAACTAGGTTATGTAATGAAGGTATTGATAACAACCAGCTACAGAGTAGACTTAAGTGTGAAGATCTATAAACACAATAAAAATAAGATATTCAGAAAAAGTGTAATTTTTGAGAAGTTTTTTTTGGTTGATTGTTGACAGTACTCTGGATACCTCTCATAAAATTAACCAAATCTAATAATATAGAGTTAGTTCATCTGGAAAGGACTAGGTTATAATCAAACTTACACACACACACACACACACACACACACACACACACACACACACACACACACACACACACGGTCAAGTGACTGTACTGGGCACTGATTTCGTTTCTGTCTTGGTTTGAATTCCATTGTGGCATTATTTTTAGGTTCCACATGGTGGCCTCTGGTACTTCCAGACTCTCAGGTTCTTTTTAAAATTAATGCTCAGGGATAAGGAGAATTTCTCTTCTCACCTTTTATTTAAATAAAATTCCTGAGCCAACTGTGAAACAATTTCTATGAAGAAGGAATGGAAGGCCCTATTTGGCTCTACTGAAGCCACATTGGAAAAGAGTGAGAATTGATTGTTCCATGGAAAAATTCTTTTTATCTAGGAAAAGAGTATATATGTGCTGGGTGACAAAACCAACAATTTTACTACAAATACATAACAATTACTAAGAGCTCAGGAGCTCTACTGGACCTTAACGTATTTTATCTCATTTACTCATCTTAACTACTTTTGAGATAGATTATCATTAGCTCTATTATACACAAGAAAGGAAACAAAGTATTGAGAAGATAAGCTGCATCAGACTTTCAAAAAGAAAGGGATCAGTGTGAGAATGGAGATCTTAAGAAAAAGTAAAGTTTATTAGTTTTTTTTTTTTTTAAATGCACAAATACAGGTTTTAGATGTTGCTCAGTGGTTTAGTGTTTGTCTTGCATGCACAAGGCCCTGGGTTCCATCCCCAGTGCTACAAAAATAAATTTTAAAAAATTTAAAAAGTTTTTTTAAAATGCAGAAATGCATAAAACACAATTATGTCATAATCTTATCACTTACATAAACCTGTTTGAAATATATAAATGGACAGATAAATAAATTGCTATTAATATGATTAAAACTTTCAAAAATTATGGCAACATAAAATTAGTATCAGAAGCTTTCCTTGTTGGGGCTGGGAGTGCAAATCAATGGCAAAGTACTTGCCTAGCACCACATACACGAAAGCTTCCCTTCTTATCACAATGTTCCCTGCACCTCCCCTCCAATATTAAGTTTTTTTGCCTGACTTCCTAGAAAAGTGTTCTAGCATTTACCAGCTTAAATCTATATCATTTTTATTTACACAAAAGGGATTGAATTATATGAAATTGCTATCTTCCTTACTTTTGTCATTAAACATGTTGTGTACATCTTCCTATGTCAATAACTACAGTTCATTTTTGAAAAAAAAGTGCAGCATTGTATATTGGTTCAATGTGATTTTTTTTTATGTCAGTTGAATTAAAAGCCTGAGTTAAAGGTTTTTATATATTTTTAAATTTGTGAATCACATGCTTTATTAATTGGGCACCTTCTAAAGAATTGTAAACATAGCTTGTAAGAAAAGTTTTGAATATTACCCAGGAGGGGTCTGGTATTTTTCTTTTGTCCAGTGTGATAATAGAAACATGGTATCTAGATTTGAGGCTGGGCATTTTGTGTTTTTGATTGTCCATTTGCCTTTTATATTTATGTTTCTGTGAACTGTCAAATCTATAAGTTTTTAAAGATAGAAGTACCCATCTTTAGTACCCTTAATCAAATGACTTTAAAGGAGACCATGCTCTATTAGTTATCCTCCATTTCCCTGATACTGATCTACCTCTGTTCACTGGTTCTTTGTTCTTTGCCTCTAAACATACCTAATTTAAAAGGCTTTCAAAGTTACTGTTCTATTTCGTTCCTTTGACCTTTATACTTATCTATCTTTATACACATACACACGATGTAATACACATATACACATATAACTACCTGTCTACAGAGAAAAGCGATTAAGAAATTGATTCTTGTGATTGTGGGGGCTGCAAGTCAGAAATCTATAGGGCAATGATGTCGAGCAGGTTGGAAATTCAGGTAAGAATTGATGTTACAGATTTGAATCTCAAGAATGGAAACTGAAACAGGATTTCTGTTTCTAGTCTAGAGCAGAATTACTTCTTTGGGAAACTTTTGTTTTTGCTCTTAAGATTTTCAACTGATTGGATAAAGCCCACCCAAATTATGCAGAGGAATGTCAACTGGTTGCAGCTGGGTGCCTGTGGCTGCCACTGTAATTCTAGCTACTCAGGAGACAGACAGAGATCAGGAGGATCCCCATTCAAAGCCAGTATGGGTAAATAGTTAGTGAGACCCTGTCTTGAAAAAACCCATCACAAAAATGGACTGGTGGAGTGGCTTGAGGTGTAGGCCTTGAGTTCAAGCCCCAGTTTAAAAAAAAAAAAGTCAACTGGTTGCAAATGTTTATGATTTGTAAAAAAATTACCTTACAGCAATGTTTAGTTTGTGCCCAAAAAACTAAGCACCATAGTCTAGCCAAGTTGACCTATACAGTTAATCATCAATGGGAGGCCAGATCAAAAAGGGTCTTAGACATTGTTTTAAGAACTTTGTTTTAATTCTGTGAGATAGTTAGTTAATGCAGTCATGGTGGGGGTTAGGAGACCAGTTAGAGGGCATGATAGCAATTCTGGTTAACAGTTGATGGCACAGTGGACTTGGGTCATAGTAGTGGGGTGGTGAAAAGTCATATATTTAAAAAAAATTTTTTAAAAACCCAGCAACTTGAATTTGGGATGTAATGAATCTAAGGGTTTTGGTCTGTGCTTCTGAAAGAATGGAATTACCATTTACCAATATGGGTAAGACTGTGGAAGGAGCAAAGAAGAGGGAAAGATCAGAAGTTTGATACGGATCTTGTTAAGTTTGTGATGTCTGTTAAGATATTCAAATAGAGTTATCAAATAGTTAGATACAAAAGTCTGGGGTTCAGTGGAGGGGTGTGAACTGGAGACATGAAATTGAGTCATTACTATGTAAGGAATATACTTACATTAAACTAGGAAAGTGAGTGAGTTTACCATAGCAGTGAGTATGAATACAGAAGAGGTATAAGGACTGAGTTCCCTATTTAAGGAGGGAATTTTAGGAGAAATAACATTTAGTTACTCCTTCTGTAACTCTCTGCAATTGCTTTCTCTACTAAAGTCTCTGTTGAAGAGAATACTAACACCATTAGCAGGATTGAAAGAAATCCCACAGAGTTCTATATGCTCCTTTTCCATTATACAACTCTGTACCAGCACTACAAACCCCTTAGTAGGGCAGTTCCAAGAAGGATAGAATATAAATTGATTAGCCACCTCCTTTAAAGAGAACTTTGAGACTATTACATCAAATTTAACACCCCTCCACATTCAAGACTTAATTCTCAGTGATAGTTCATTATAAGGATTAGCTGTTGATGACAGTAATTGAAATATGATAAAACTTTATTTTCTATCACAAGTCTGAACAGGTGGTACAAGACTAATATGACTATATATATAGTCAACTATCTTGCATCCTTCTATCTTTTAGCTTTATTATAAATGGTCTGGACTTTCATAAAATGTAAGTCAGATCATACCACTCCTTTGCTCACAGCCCCTCCACTGGATTCTCAGTTTATTCAGAAGAAAAAATGAAAGCTTTTATTGTGACTTTCCATCTTTTCTCCTCTGTCCCTTTTCTCCTTTCCTCATTTCCTGCTAGTCCCTTTAGTCATCTGGCCTTTGTCTTCTGACCTAGTCTTACAAGGATTGTGACCAGTGTATTTAGGAGAGTCTGAAGTGGTAAGAGTAGGAGTAGAAAACTGAGTTTTAGTCCTGTTACAATAATTGAGGCAGAGGGTAATAGTGGCTTTGGACTATGGTAGAGGTGCAGAGAAGTGACCAGATTAAGAGTATATTTTGGTGGTTGGTCTGACAGGTTTTTAGTTTGCTTGTTTTTGTTTTGAGATAGGTAGGTGGCCCAGGCTGGACCCTCTATCCTGTTGCCTAGCCTCTCAAGTGAGGGCTGCTATACCTGACCCTGTTGGGTTTTGCTAAGCATATTTTTTCCTTCAAGTCTCATAAATGCTGACCCACATTGGATCAAAGACAACTTATACATGATTTTTAGAGAGGCTTCTCCTTGCTGCCTATGTAAAGTTGCAAAGCTATCTATATCCTGGAAATTTTCTGTTGTACCTACCCTACTCCACTACCTAGTATCACTGGTTAGTCAGATCTTTTGTGACCAATGCCTTTGGGCAGCTAAAAATACTTCAAAGCAGCATTCAGGCTGTTTTGCACTTTCTTGAATTGGCTGTGCTATAATATTAATTTTTCCTTACTGTATTTTATACTGTATCAAAGTCCACATCATTCATGCTGATGATCTCAGCTAAGTGGTTCGCATGGGGAAGATCTTTCTTTCTGAACAAGGGAAACTTTTCCCAGTGTTAGGCTGTTGCCTTCCTCTTTCTGACTCCTCGGCACCATGGTGTTGAATGGTTGGTGATTTCTTTTGAATCAAAACCATCCTATCTTTACTATATAAAGGGGTTATGATTTCTTCTGGTGAGGAAGTCTCCTAATCATTGTGGATTTCAGCAGTTTGAGGTTTATCTGATGTAGAATTCATTTTGTCTTTTGCCAAATATCTTTTAAGTTACTGGTTGTAAAAGTATAGTCAGCTTTTATGTGCGTTTTGTTATCTTTTGTGTTTATTATTCCCAGAAGCTATAATTTTTCTGCTCTTCTTCTTTTGTATTCCTTGTAATCTGAGTCAATTTTGATGATTTTAAAGATGCAACTCTTTATAAAATATTATCATTCCTTTTTCCCCTCCCTAGTTGAAGGAGGTCTGGTGGAAGGGAGGGAGTTTAGAGGAAGGTGGAGAAATTTTAAGGGCCAAAAGCTGAACCTGTGAAGTGTTAGATTGTATGCTAGCTCTGGCTGTGCCATACATGCTTTCATATTTTTTGAAGCTCAAGAGAAATCACCACAGAGAACTAGAAAATAGTGCTTTGAAATGCATCTGTATTTATACCTTGATCTAAAAGTCTCTCTGGACTTAGGGGAATGAGAAATTATCTAACTGAGGTCTATTGAATTCTAACCTATGGTCAGCACCTCTTTTGATACAGTTAGCAGCAATTTTAAAATTGGTAAAGAGATTTTTTTACCCTTTGTTATGTATTTTTTGTCTATTACTCAGAAAGAGTTTTGTAAATGTAAATTGGACTCAAAATTTAGTGTTTTCTTGTTATCTTTTGATCATGTGATTATTTAAGGGAGTGTTATTTTTCTTTTCTTTCTTTTTTTTTTGGCAGTACTGGGGTTTGAACTCAGGACCTCATGCTGGCGAGGGAAGCAGTACACCACTTGAGCCATGCCCCTAATGCTTTTTGCTTTACTTTTTTTTTTTTAAATAGGGTCTCATGTTTTTGGTCTGGTCTGGCCTGGGACCTTGATCATAACTGAGATGACAGGTGCCACCACCACACTGAGCTTTTTGGTAGTTGAGATGGGTTTTGAAGAAATTTTTGCTTGAGGCTGACCTTAAACTGTGATCCTCCCAGTCTCCATCTCCTGAGTAGCTGGGATTAGACATGAGCCACTGTGGTTGGTGAATGTTATTTTTCTTTCCAAGAACACTCAGAAGTGTTCTTGCTGCCCACGCTGGCTTCAAACTCTTGAGTTCAAGCTATTCTGCCTCAGCTTCCTGAGTTAGCTGAGACTACAGGTGTGCACCACAATATCCAGCTTACATAGCTTAGTAAGCAATTTATTACTTCTTTCCTAATTCACTCATTTTTCACATTGCCACCATGTGCCATAACTGTTGGGCAAGATATCTCCCCCTAACAGAATGTAAAACCCAGATTGGGCTACTAGTTGATAATGTATTATTTCACAAGGATTCTAGAATTAAGACCTTAAAAGTTTAGTTTAGCTCTCCCATTAGAGCTTAGAATTTAATTGACATCCATTACACAGGGTCATAATTGATTGTGATCATTCCTCAGTTTGCAGAATCTTTTGAGCTGGCCTCAGGGCAGCCTTTGGAAATTCTTTATCCAACAATATTCATGTCATTGATTCTTAGGACTGTCCTAGGCAGAGTATAGAGGACACTGGGGGCTCAACTCAAGTCCCCTATCAGTTCTTGGCAGGACTGACATACCCACTACTTTCCTCTCTCCACATATTTGATATCAGAGGATTGAAGGTACTATGGTGATCCCTGGGAGGCAAAGGTTATTTATTTATTGGTGGTAGTGGGACTTGAACTAAGGGATTTTTCACTTGCTAGGCAGGTGCTCTACCACTTGAGCTATGCCCAGACTCCACAGGTTTGTTTTTAATGCTTAACTTATATTTTCTTTCCTTTTATTTTTACAGTGAGTACATTCAAGTAGCATTTTTACTAGAAGTGGAGACATGAGATTGAAGATATCGCTTTTAAAGGAACCAAAGCATATCCTTTTAATACTTATAAACCTTATTGTAATCATCTTATTGCTAAAAGTTTTCTTCTATTTTTTTGCTCTAGTTAGAGATTTTTTTCCATTGTTTTAGTGGTTATTTAGCTAAATTGTTTTGAAATATTTGAGATCATATGTTGTAGGTATTTCTCCAAAACAAAGTATTTGCTCTAAATCTTACTTTCAAATTCCATTTTTCTCACTCTATTTAAGTATGGTACTTAAGTTTTTAAAAAGTAGTTTTTGTTTAGCCTAATAGAATATTAAAGAGAAGCTCTTTTAAAAATCCAAATAATTTGTTAGTGTGATCTAATATGTATTCATTGAGTTGTGCTCTATTTTCTTTTTTAAAATGTAGCCCAGGCTGTCTTCAAACTCTCAATCCTCCTGCCTTTGCCTTCCAAGTGCTGGGATAACAGAAGCACACCACCATACCCAACTTGTATGTTGAGGGGGGTGTCACTGACTTCTCACCTTAAACTGTGATCTTTCTGATCTCCACCTCCAAAGTTGCTGGGATAACAAGCATGAGCCACCATGCCCAACCTTAGTTCTGCTCTACTTCTTTGCACTCCTGATAAAGAAGAGTATAAACTGGGTAAATCTGAGTAATGAGACCTTTATTATTTCACAAGAGTGCATGGCAATTATTAATATTTTCTCATATTCATGACCCCATATTTTGTCAACTCCAGTCCTTAGTTATGTGTCAGTGAGCTACACCTGTCTCCACTGTCATCCTCCTTAGTCATTTAGACCTGTTCTCAAAGTATTGTCTCTGTGGACTTTATTGCAGGTCTGTGAAGGAAGGGATAAAGAAATTAAAAGGGTGAGAAATTTTTGTTGCAATTTACCATTGTTACCATCCAAATAGGTCATTTTTCTAGTAATTCCTTTAATCTGTGTGGTGTGTGGTACTGGGGATCGAATCCAGGGCCTTGAGCATGCTAAACATACATTCTACCATCGAGCTACATTCCCAGCCCACGTTTTTATTTTATCTTACAAAATGTCAGTCTGCACTGGATTCACACAAAGAAAAATTTGGCCGGTTTGAATTTATTTGTGTTTCATTTATATTATTTTGTCTGAATATTTAACTCTTTTTTTTTTTTTTTTGGCAGTACTGGAGTTTGAACTCAGGGTATCATACTTTTGGGGCAGGTGCTTTACCACTTGAGCCACTCCACCAGCCCTTTTTTGCATTGGGTTTTTTTGAGATAGGGTCTCACAATCTCTTTGCCTGGAGCTGGCTTCAAATCTCGATCCTCTTTATCTCTGCCTCCTGAGTAGTTAGGATTACAGGAGTGAGCCACTAGTGCCTGGCTTGATTATTTAACTCTTGAGTAAAGATGTAATTCCTTTTATGTTGCCTTAAATCAGTTTTGCTGTCTTTTCAAAGTATGCTCTGAGGAATTCATGCCATATACAATATTATAGCTGTCTACTGTTTACTTTTACCTTTTAAAGCTGAAGAAAATTCTTTTTAGACTTTCTTAATCTAGCAGTTCTCTCATTTCTCCCATAATTTTAGTTGGCCTGTTAGCTTGATGATAGCATCATGGATCTGTGATGTATAATTATAGCAGTTTATATAAGGATAAGCTAGAGGTTTGGTTTGAAGTGTGTGTTTGTGTGTATTTTCTTCCTTTCTAGATTTTACCTAAGCTTTTGTCTTTCTAGGTTTCAGAAGCATTGCTAGGTGACAGCAATTATACTGGAGCAGTTTTTTTTTTTTTTTTAGGAATTATCTAGAGGTCCTTTGGATTGCCCAAGGAACCCAAATCATTATATTTGGATTCTGAGCATTTCAGTGACACTTTATTCCTATTTGTGAAGTCTCTTAAGCTCTTTCTATCATCCCTTTTTATCTTTTTCATTTTTGCTTAATTTATCATATTTTCAAAAAAAACTTAGAAGATATGACAATAATTATGACACACTGTATTTTTATGTTTCCTTGAACGGTTTGATTGTTCAGATAAGCCAATAAGAACATTGATGAGAAAAGTGAAGAAAGTGGAAGTTCATATGATAACAATAAGAGAGTAAACAATCCAACCAAGAATGATCTGGTAATTTAGAAATACAATTGTAAGCAAGAAAAAAATGTCCTATGTAAATGAGAAACGTGAGGTACACAATTCTGCTAGGGTAAGCAGCTAGTCCTGATGGAGGGTATGAGGGCTATTTAAGCATCTCAACTTACATAGAAATTCTTCTGATAAATCAGACTAAGTTAATACAGAACTTGATTCGATGCTATGTATCTTATAATTATAGTAAATTGTTAGTGAATTATTTTTTGACATTAATGTCCCAAAATTTGTATTGTCCATTAAAAATTAATAACCAAAATGGAAAAAACAGTTTGGTAAGATTATAGTTTTAGCTGTTAAGCGGTGGACTTTTTTTTTCCCTAGGTGAATTGTTATTATAGTGTGTGATTTTGGTTTTTGTTTTTGTTTTTTGGGACAGAGTCTCACTATGTAGTCCAGGCTGCCCTTGAACATATCATCCTCCTGTTTCTGCCTCCTGAGTTCTTGGGATCACAGGTGTGTGCTACCATGGGTGGCACATTGTGTGATTTAAGGAGATATTTTATTGTTAGATTTCAGTCTTCTAACAATTGATTTTTTTTCACTTATCAAACTAATATGTGCTTTCTAATAGCTTAAATGATGCATATATATGAATACATAGTCACAGATTTTTTATATGTATACTTACACACATATATGTGTATGTGTAGATGTGTTTTATATATACATACATATGTTTATATTGTTATAGGATCCTTTTCTTCCTGCTTATTCCCCAACAGTTTAGTGCAGATCATTTCTTACCTTTTGCTATATTAGGTTTCTTTTGTGTATTTTTTGGCCTTGTTGAAGGAATATTTTTTTTATAGCACAAGTTTAAATTTCCGTGTAGTCAATTTTTTCCCCCTTTGGCATCTAGCTTTCATCTTTCCTTTACATTCTTACAACTGTTTTGATAGATTCTTAATCACCTTTATGTGGAAAAAATATCAGTCATAAAATGTAAAATACATTTAGAGGCTTTAAAGCTTCCTTTTTATAACCTGCATCTGTGAATCATTTTGTTAGGATTGAGGACTTTGTGTGTTTTATGCTTCCTTAACACAGTATCACATCAAGAATTAGTAAGCTGTGTGGGCTGGACTACTGCTGAAGAGCTGTATTCATGTAGTGATGATCACCAGATAGTGAAGTGGAACTTGTTAACCAGTGACACAAGTCAAATAGTGAAACTTCCTGATGATATTTACCCGATAGATCTCCACTGGTTTCCAAAAAGTTTAGGCACAAAGAAACAGACTCAAGCAGAGAGCTTTGTCCTCACAAGTTCCGATGGTAAGTTTTAATTAATTAATTAATTAACTTTTAGTGGCACTGGGGTTTGAACTCAGGGCCTTTGCTTGTGAGGCAGGCAGTCTTACTGCTTGAGCCACTCTGCCAGCCCCTTGATGGTAAGTTTTTACTAAGTGTTATATGCTCATCTTGTATTAAAATACATACTAATATGATGTAGAGTTGTTTTACAAAAGTGCTTTGTGGATTTCCAGCTCTTCATCTGCACATTTTATTTATTTTTTTGTACAATCATTTGATTTGTGTATGGGTTATAGAACTATTGTCATAGAAGAAAGTGAATTAAACTGGCATATCCCAGGATTGAATCTGGGCCTTTGGCTTTACTTTTCTGTGCTGTTACCGCAATTTTGGTTTCCAGTTTCTTCAAATTTAACTTAATAACATAACCACACTAAAAAAATACAGATGTACATACTCATTTAGTCAGCTGTCTATTGAATATATCCTTTATTTTCTAGTATATTGATTTCTAGTTACAGAGTTGAAGACTTGTATAATTTGTCCATAATTTATTACTGGTAAATAGAAAACATGGTTTTTTTTTTTTTCTTTTGGAGATTGGGACTTGTTTTGTATCCCAGGCAAGCCTCAAACTTATAATACTTCTACCTCAGCCTCCTAGAATTTACAGGTGTACCACTACACCTAGCCTAACTTTTCTACTTTTTAAGGAATGTTTTTGTTTTCTTAGAATACTTGAGCTATTTTAATCTGTATTGTACTTTACCTACTATGCCAATTAGGGGTTCACTGATTATGGGTACATTTATTGTAAGTAACAGAAACTTACTTGGCTAACTTTTTGCACAAATGGAGTTTTTTTGTTTACCTATTTGTGGGCTAGATCTTCAAGGATAGCTGCATCAGCCCCTGTTTTCAGTCTCTTGAATAGGCTTCCCCATGTGGTAAGTGTGATGTGGCCGTAGCCCAAGATTCATCATCTGAGATGAGGAATGTTAGCAACAAAGGGTGTGTTTTCCTCCTTATTTCTTGTAGCAAGCTGTAGAGATGGTCCTATATGAGCTTAAAGCATATGGCCAGTGCTTTAATCACCTTAATCAAGGGAACGAGATACTGATTGATCATGTCAAGCCTCAGGCTAACATATGAAAAAAGAGAAGAGAAGAGGACTTTTATAATCAGAAGAAAGAAGGGATGTTATGACAAATTAATGTCAGATTGTACTACATTGGCAGAGGGCCTTGTGGTTGGTTTTTTTTAAAACTTATTTTTCTGAGACTTGATTAAATGAGATATATATATATAAAAGCACTTGATATAGAGCCTTGTGCTTAGAAGACTGGCTCTGAACTACACTAGAATTTAGTTTTACTCAGATAATAAAAGTGATGGGCTCACTTAAAACTTTATTATGATATGATTTCATATTTACAGAAAAGTTATAAGAATTGTACAATCCTTTATTCACATTGTCTAATTTAACATTTTATCCCATATACTTTACCATTGACTCTCCCTTCTCTCTATATACACTTACACACTTTTCTTCCTTTAGATTTGAGAGTAGTTTACAGACATGCCCCTATACCAGAAACACCTAGAAGCATTTGTTAAGGATTTTAATCACCACAATACATTGATCAAAGTCAGGAAATTTAACATTGATGCAATACTACTATCGAATCTACAGTTCATATTCAGATTTTAGCACTGTCCTAATACTATCTTTTGTAGAATTTGTTTACTACTGCACAGTAACATAGTGCTTTTGTTATATCTCTAGCTTCCTTCTGTCTGGAACATCTCCTCAGTCTTTTTTATATGATCTTAGTAATTTTGAAGAATACAGGCCCATTACTTCATAGAATGTTCCTTGATATGTGTTTACCTGATGTTTCCTAATTGTTAGATTTCATTTACAGATTTTTAGCAGGAATGCTCAGGACACCAGATAGGAAATTCATGGTGTTATTTTGGCCCATTGTTGGTGGTGTTAACTTTGATTACTGATAGGTTGTATTTAATTAAATTAATCTATTGTAAAGTTATTATTTTCCTTTTTTAATAACTAATTTTTGAGAGAGTATTTTGAGACTACAAAAATATTCTTTTCCTCCTTAGACTTCCTTCCATGCTCTTATCATCCATTAATGATTCTTGACTAAATCACTTATTACTAAAATGGTTGCCAAATGGTGGCTTCCATATTGAATAGTTGGTATTCTACTCCAAGGAAGAACTTCCTGTCCCGTGCCCATTTATTTATTTATTTATTTATTTTGTTAGATTAGTCTCATAGATTCTTATTTTATTTGATCAATATTCTGTTTCTATGAATTTTAATTTTTTTTTTTTTTTGCAGTACTAGGGTTTAACTCAGGGTCTTGTGCTTGCTAGGCAGATGCTCTACCATGTGGCCCACTCCACCAGCCCCTGAATTTTAAATCTCGATGTTGAAATTGCCCCAGAGTTGGCCAGTGGGAGCTCCATTAGTGGAGCCAGTTACACTGATCTTTTTGTGTGTGTGTCCTTATCATTTTTTGAGCACTTCCTTACTGGCACAAGATGTTCCAGGCTTATCTTGTATTTTCCCATTTCCAGTCCCCAAATCAGCCATTTTCCAAGGATATGTGTTCTTTTTTTGATGGCTAATGACATGTAAAAGCCAAAATAACAGGACAAGCTGTGTTCATGCCAATGGGGTAGTGTTTGTTTCAAGGCCCTTTCAGTGAAAAGAGCTAAGAAACAAATACAAATGCATATGCATATCAAAAGCTACTTCTTATGACTTTATATCTAAGCCATGAGTTTATTCTGATAACACCAGTTCTAATTCAACACCACAGGGTTAATTCTAGCCTTTTTTCTATACATGGAAGTAGTGAAGAAAATCTGGTTCCAATTATCATCAGTGTATTTACTCATTTGCTTACTTCTGTAATACACATTAGTTTCAGAATTCATAATATATACTACTGCAAAAATTAATCTGCTTAAAGTTCAATATTTCTTTAATGCTGATTTTATCTTTGTAGGTTTTGATCGTTTTGTTTTTTGTTTTGTGAGCCAGGGACTCTATACTTAGCCCAGGATTGTCTTGAATTTACTATCTTCCTGCCACACCCTCCTCCTCCTGAGTACTGGGATTACAGGTGAACACTACTACACCTGCCTATCTTTGTTTTTTTTTTTTTTTTTTGATTAGCAATAATTGCACCTCGGATAAACCTCATTGACTACAATACTGCCACTGCGCAAAGCTCCTATCTTTGTTTTTGACTGAGGAAAGTCAAGTCCTTGTTTAAAAGTTACTTGTCCCCCTGTTTACGTGTGGTTATATTATTCATTTGAAATGCAGTTAGTATTTATTTGTTTTCTACTTAAGGTCTCTTCTTCTCTCATCCTTATTGATTTGATTATTTTTCAGATATGTAAAACATTAATATAGATTGCTATATAAAGTCAAAACTATGTTAAAAAATATACTGAGTAATGTTACTAACTTCACTCATCTGATTCCATACATCCCATTTCTAGTTATTTTCTGTAGGTAACCAGTTTCTTTGGTTCTGGTTTATTCTTCCTGTTTCTTTTGGCAAAAATAGATGTATATTTTCTTAGTTCACTTTTTTTTTTTTAATTGGTGATACTGGAGTTTGAATTCAGGGCCTTGTGCTTGCAAGTGCTCTAACCCTTGAGCTACATCCCCAAACCTGTTTGCTTTAGCTATTTTTTGCTTTTGCCTTTTTTGCCCTGGCTGATCTGGACCATTATCCTCCTACTTATGCCTCCCACATAGCTGGGGTGACAGGTGTGCATTGCTACACCCAGCTTTTTTTGATGAGATGGGGATCTTGCTAACCTGTTAACTGGCCTGGCCTTGATCCTAACCTCCATATCTCTGCTTTTCTGAGCTTGGATTTTAGGCATGAACCACCACTCCTGGCCCTTTGTTCACTTTTTTATGACTTTTTATCTGGCATACTTAGATAGTAAAAATAATTAGTTTTAATCATTTCTGCTATCTGTTTCCCTGAATTATTCAGATTACTTAATCATAATTAAATAATAATTCCTTTGGTCTTTATTTCACATTGGCTTTCTATGAAGCACTTTATGATGGGGAAAAAGTCTAAAGAATATAATGGGAAATATAAGTTTATAAGAGAATCTACGACATTTAATTTTATTTTTAAGTTTACAAATATGAAAAAGTGTCAGGTGTGTTGGGGCATATCTGTAATCCCAGCACTAGAGAGGCTGAAACAGGAAGATGTGAGTTAGAGGCTAGCCTGGGCTACATAGTGGCAATACTCTATCTGTCTCAAAAAACAAACAAAACAAAAGACATCTGTAAAACAAAAACAAGAACAAACAAACGAAAACAAGAAAGCATGTCACAAGTAATTGTGGGCTAAAAAGAGAACCAAAGTAGAGTATTTTCTCTCATCATGAGTCCATAATGATAGAAAGTGAAAAAAGGATGATAGCACAAAGAAAAGAAGTGACGAGATAGAAAATAGTAATCAGAAATAAAAAGCAGTGTTCAGGGAAGAAGGTGGATGCCATCGGGAGGTGGTCCAGAGGTCTCCTAACAGGTAAGCATCTGAGGTTATTTTATACATCAGTGCTGTATTCTTTTTTAACCTAATATTTTAAAAAATATTTGTTGTGGTAAAAACCACACACGAGATTTACCTTCTTAGAAAAATTTTAAATGTACAGTACAGAAATGTTAATTATAAGCATATTCTTGTATTCTGATCTCTAAAACTTGTTTATCTTGGATACTTTAAAAAAAAATTCCTTTGAGACTTAATTCATTGCTCAAGCGTTCTTTATCTAGTTGCCGCCAAAGTTCTCCTCTTGGTTTTTCTCCCCCAACACTGGCAGAAGAGGAAGTTAACCATTTGTTAATTTGTTCATGACTCTTCCTTTGTTCCCTTTTTCTGATGCTCTTCCTCTTCTGTATTTGTGAGAACATTACATTTTTTTAAAAATCCTGAAATTTGGGGCAGGTCCTGAAGTACACAGAGCAGACCGAGTATTTTGTCTCACCAACAACTTTCTCCTCAACATTTTCTGTTTTTAAATATTTCATGCAGCTGTATCTGACTTTTGTTTTTGGTGGTGGTGGTGCTGGGGTTTGAATTCAGGGTTTCTCAAATGCTAGGCAGTTGTAACTACTGAGCTACATCCAAGGTAACTTTGTCCTACTTTTTAGAGGAGATGTTTCTTTGACATTGTGTTAAAGATTTACATTTTAAAAGAATTGAATTGGATTTATTTAAAATGTATTAGGACAACTGCTGTGTTAAGGAATTCTGGTCTAACAGCCTTTTTTGGAGAGCGTAAAATCTTTTGTAAGGCCATTAAGCACTCCTTAAATTATATTTATGGAAAGTTATATTTTTACATTGTATTATTTACAGACTTTTTTACATTGTATTGGATATCAAAATAATTTCCATCTTTATTAGTTAATATATATCCATTTTGAAATCTCACTTTGAAAAAAATTCTTATTTTTTTATCAGAAGTTAGTAGAAGGGCTGGTAATTGTAGCTTAGTAATAACAGTACTTGCCTAGTATATGCGAGGACCTGGGTTCAGTCCCAAGCCCTGAAAAAAAAAGAAAGAAAAGACATTAGCTCTTAGGATCTCTTTACTGTCATTTGCAAAACATTTCTGCTGTTAAGCAGTCTGCAGCAGTGCTCATATGGTGCATGCCTCGTAAGCAAGAGGCCCTGAATTCAGCCCCCAACACTGACAACAAAAACAAAGGTGCTCCTGTGCTTTTTCCTAACACTTTATTCTAGCCTTCTTGTTCTTATGGATATGTCTTAAGACATTTTAAAAAATGTTTCATATTTTTTTTTTGTGGTATTGGGGCTTGAACTCAGGGCCTACACCTTAAGCTATTCCACCAGCCCTTTTTTTGTGTAGGGGCTCTCAAACTATTTGCCCTGGCTGGCTTTGAACCGCAATCTTCCAGATGTCTGCCTCCTGAGTAGCTAGGATTATAGGCGCTCGGCAGTTTTACAAATTTGATTTATGTAAGTTGTGTGTGTGTGTGTGTGTGTGTGTGTTTTGAGACAGAGTTTCACTACATAGCCTGGTGTAGGTTGGACCTCCCTAAGTCCTTAAACTCTCGATTAGCCTCTTGAGTGCTGGGATTACAGGAATGAGCCACCACACCTGGCTTTACATAATTTTATATTTATGCTTTGGTATTAGTATGCTACTTAAGCTGTTTGTAACAATCAGACAAAATACAAAGGCCCAAGATTTGTGAAGTGCCAAATCTATGCAAAAAGATGACCTCAGGTGTCCTACGATTTATTTTATGTGAAGTTCTTAGAAGCAAGAATAATATTAATACTTGCCAAAAAATCAGTATTAAGTATTTTTAGGATAAAAAAATCCTAAAGTGATCTATTTAAATATATGAAATATGATCAGGATTGAAATACATAAAATTCCTAGAAATGAGAACAGGTCAAAAGTTATTTTTTGGACTTTACATTTCTGGTCAAGAGTTATTTGGTTAATTTCAGATGGATCTGCAACCATTGTTTCTTATGTGGACCTTATGTGCTAGACATTTGCTAACATTTAGTAAAACAAACCTCATCAAAGTATCTAAATAGCCACAGGATTAGCTTTCCAGCTACTGTATGTCATCTTTTCAGTTTCCTCTTGAGATTTTTTTCCCCCCTTGTTTATAAATCGATGTATTAGGAAAGACTTATTTCCAAATTCATTTTAAGTTGTTTTTGGAAGAGAACAATAGCACAGTTGAATTCAAATAATCTTGTTACTTTAGAAAAATGGCCTATCAGTAAATATAAGATTAAAAGAAATATAAAAGGAAAAATAAATGGTGCTAGTAGGTTGTTACATGAAAGATAAGAGTTGCTTATTGTTGAGGGCCTAGAAAATGAATAATGAGAAAAAATTCACCAAAATTAATGAGAAAGAATGTCAAACTAGGCTATTTCAGGGGTCACTGAGTTGGCTGAAAACAATAAACGCTGATTATCTAAAAGCACTATTGCAAATAAAAAATACAAGTAAGACATGGCTCCTATCTTGAAAGGCATCACAGCTCAATAAAAAAAAAAAATGCTGTACCAGAGTTTTAAATCAATTTTTTTGAGACCAAGAGATCTCTGGAATAGAAGGATTTATGGAGCCTTGACAGATTCTAGCCAGAAAGAAAGAGCTGTGGGACAAGTTCCCTCAGCCACCAGCAGCAAGTGGAGGAAGCAGCTGGAAAAATGTCCACTGTATCTGAAGACCAGAGTACTTTGTGTTGAAAATCTGGGGAAGGAATGCACAGAAAAGTTTCTAATTTCACTGTGCTTTATTATTTTATTACTAGTTATATATTGCTAGATTTAATAACTATTCAAAAATCATTGAATAGTTGATTCTTTCTTGGATTCCAGTATCATTTATTCTTTGCAGCAGTTATTTTTTACTTTTTGTCTATACATCTCCAAACTTTTGGAGGACAGCAACTAAGTAGCCTACTTTTTGTCTACAGGTACCTGTACAGTGTAAAATCATAGAAGGCAAATTTTTTTTTTCATTCATATGTGCATACAAGGCTTGGGTCATTTCTCCCCCCTGCCTCCACCCCCTCCCTTACCACCCACTCCGCCCCCTCCCTCTCCCCCCTACCCCCACAATACCCAGTAGAAACTGTTTTGCCCTTATTTCTAATTTTGTTGTAGAGAGAGTATAAGCCATAATAGGAAGGAACAAGGGTTTTTGCTGGTTGAGATAAGGATAGCTATACAGGGAGTTGACTCACATTAATTTCCTGTGCGTGTGTGTTACCTTCTAGGTTAATTCTTTTTGATCTCACCTTTTCTCTAGTTCCTGGTCCTCTTTTCCTATTGGCCTCAGTTGCTTTTAAGGTATCTGCTTTAGTTTCTCTGCGTTAAGGGCAACAAATGCTAGCTAATTTTTTAGGTGTCTTACCTATCCTCACCCCTCCCTTGTGTGCTCTCGCTTTTATCATGTGCTCAAAGTCCAATCCCCTTGTTGTGTTTGCCCTTGATCTAATGTCCACATATGAGGGAGAACATACGATTTTTGGTCTTTTGGGCCAGGCTAACCTCACTCAGAATGATGTTCTCCAATTCCATCCATTTACCAGCGAATGATAACATTTCGTTCTTCTTCATGGCTGCATAAAATTCCATTGTGTATAGATACCACATTTTCTTAATCCATTCGTCAGTGGTGGGGCATCTTGGCTGTTTCCATAACTTGGCTATTGTGAATAGAAGGCAAATATTTTTGAGCCTGGGATTATTCATTTAACAGTTTTGATTCCTCTCTTTTACACTTTTTCCAGCTTTTCCAATTGCCTGAAAGAAAAAAACAAGAATGCCAAATTCCGCCTAAATAGAAAGCTTTTTTGACATTTCTAGAGACCCTTGGTCATATTCCAGCAGAATTTCATTGTCCCTCTGAACTATAGCACTGCATATCTATATTTTACTACATTTCAAGGAGTTATAACTTTTTGTACCTGTTTTCCAATAGATTTATGTTTCTTGAGATTAAGAATAATTATATTACTTGCTCTCATGCCTCTAGTGCTAAAAACTATGCAAACTAATCTGGTAGTTTGTTCTCCAGGGATGTTTGAGCATTGAATAAGTTAATAAAATAGATTTCTCAAACATAATTTCTTTTAGGTAAATTTCATCTGATTTCCAAGTTAGGAAGAGTGGAAAAAAGTGTAGAAGCTCACTGTGGAGCTGTACTTGCAGGAAGATGGAATTATGAAGGAACAGCATTAGTTACAGGTAAATTATCTGCAAAAATGCCTTTTTTTTTTTTCCTGTGTTGGGGATTAAACCCAGGGCCTCACTCATGCAAGGCAAGTGATCTGCCATTGAGCTATACCCATTAGCCTCAAATTCATTTAAAATTAATTTTTAAGAAAAATTTCCAAAGAAACAGAACATTTGCATTTAACATGTGTCTTTCATTGTTTAATAGTAAGTAATTGGCACAGTATTGATCTAGACTGATACAGAAATACTGTCATTCAGAATATCATGTTAATTGTTAGTTTTCTTATGTGACTTTTGGAGACTATTCTGTCGAAGAAGGCTTTTAGGGCAGTCAAGTATGAGGTAAATGAAAGTTGTAATTTTTAAAAAATTCTAAAATTCAAAGTATTCTCATTTAACTATGTTTATCCCCCTTCCATATCTCTTCCATTCCTGCCCTACTTCAGAGGAGTCTCGCCTCCACTTCTTATGTTAGTTATGTGTTGCTACATAACAATTTACCTCAACAGTTAGTGACTTAAAATAATCAGAAAAAAATGTATTTTTTTCTCCTTGGTGTCTGCCTTGAGGTTTTTTCCATTCAAGTTGTTACACTGGGCTGCAGTCATAGAAGGCTTGTCTGGGCCTTGAGGATCCACCTCTAATGTGGATTACATGGCTTTTGGCAAGAGGCCTTGGTTCTGCTCTGGCTTTGGCAGGAGACTAATTCCTTGCCACATGGGCATCTCCATAGGGCTGACTGAGTATTTTTACAACATGGCATCTTGTTTCTCCCAATGATTCAAAAAATAGCAAGGTAGAAGTCATGCCTTTTGTGACTACCCTAGAAATCATAACCTTATCATTTCCATGACTTCTCTTCATTGGAAGCAAGTCTCTAGATATAGCTGACACTGAAAGAAAGGGATCAAACTGCATTCTCAAAAAGAGGAGTAATAAAGAATTTGTGATGTCTTAAAATTACCACAACTATCCCTTGGGCCTTCTGTTGAAGGATTTTTCTCCATGAATTGCTCCTTCTCTCACCTGTACCTTGAACTTCTCTTTTTCTAGGGGCTTAATTTTCACCACATAAGTGTTTAGATGTCATTCATTTTTAAAAATTAAGAAGGAAATATAAATCCCAAGCTGAGGATGTGGCTCAGTTTTAGAATGCTCATCTAGCATGCGTAAAGCCCTGGATTTGATCCCCAACACTGTAAAAATAGAATAGTGTAGAAGTAAAATAAAATAGAACAGAACAAAATAGAATAGAGTAAAATAGTAAGTAAATAATAAAACCCAGTCCTTAAATGACTCTTTAAAATACTTTACTTTCTAGTCTAAAGTGGAGATTGCAGTAGCAATTGAAGTAGTATTTGAATAACACATTCATAAATTTTCTAAGTTTGAAGGAAAAAAATTTGAGTCATTGAAGTAAATTTACTTTGATAAAATTGTTTCAAAGTAATTTCTGTTGTTTTAGTTACAACACACTCATTTAATTAGGATAAATTTTATCAGTTTTAAACATGCATTTATATGTATATACTATTGATCTATTTATTGTAAATTTGGGCCTAAATTTGTTTTCTAGAGATAAAAATATTTCTTTTCTCTATACAGTTGGAGAAGATGGACAAATTAAAATTTGGTCAAAGACTGGAATGCTTAGATCAATGTTAGCTCAGCAAGGTAGGCTTTATAATTGATAATACTATATTTGAAAATTATGGAATACAAAACTGCCTTAACATTTTCCTTTAGGAAACAATCTTATATAGTGGTTGAAACTGGCTTTGTTAAGTTCAAAATCTTGCTTCTATTTTCTTGCTTCTATTTATATTTTTCTTACTTTCCACAATGTGTGATGGCTCATGGTAATTGTCTTATTCAACCCAAGATGGATGAGATGTATGAGAAATATTCAAGGACTTTTTCTTTCTGTTTGTGAATCTATATGAGGACAACTGCAGACTAAATATTCTTTTAAAATAATACTTAAGTATTTGGGTCATATCCTGTGTAGATTAGGGTTGGGTGCCTATTTAAGAAAATCACCTGGGTGTGGCGGCACATGCCTGTAATTCCCTCACTCAGGAGACTGAGGCAAGAGGATCATAAGTTCAAAGCCAGCCTATGCAAGATCATGGCCAGCCTGAGCTACACATAGTAAGATCCTGTCTCAGAAATCCAAGTGCTGGGGATATAGTTCAGTGGTAGAGTGCTTGCTGAGAATGTACAAGGCCCTAAATTCAATCCCTAGCACTGAAAAAAACAAAATTATATTAAGAGAAGACATTTAACGTATCTCTTTACTTAAAAAGTCCCAATAAATTAATAATATTAGCACCCTTTGTAAATTGTATTATACAGTTGAGGACTGTCTCAATGTAGGGGAACAGATACATTGATTAATCTGAAACTTGGTAAGCATGCTACTTAATGGAGCAATTCAATGTTCCTTGTAATGGAAAGGTATGGCGGTCAACCCAGTAGTCATTCCTGTTGGGATATGGTTTACATATCTATGTAGCAGGTTAATATTGCTAATTATGCTTTACCTGTGACAATGAAGCAGTTTTAATGTTGACCTGAGCATGTATGAACTGATCAACAGAGACAGGTTGCCAAAAACTAGCAGATTATTCTTCAGAATAATATGATAAAGTTTTAGTATGAAGCATCTGTAAATGACTTTCAAAAATTTCCACATTTTATTTGAAAATAATGTTAAGTTACATTTCTCCAGCTATTCATTAACTATAAATATTAGCAAAAGTAGCCAGAAATGGTAAGTTGTGTTTCTCTTCTGAGGTTAAATCTTTGCTATCTATAATCTCCCTATCTCGAAAATAACCAACACAAAAAAAGGCTGGCAGAGTGGCTCAAGTAGTGGAGTCCCTACCTGGCAAGCTCAAGACCAAGTTCAACTCCTGGTACAACCAAATAATAATAATAGAGATTTTTCCCAATAATAAAAGCAAAGGACCTTGAAAAAGAATATAAATCTTCTATGGTAGATGGTGTGACAAGCTTTTGGAATTTCTCTGAAGATTTTTGTCATCTTTAACATAATTGTTAAAGAATTAATCATAGAGGCTAATGATAATAGTGTTGTTAGTTCAGTATGATAGCTTGCCTGTTCATGTAATGGGTCTGGAAGCCAAACTACTACTTATTTTACTTTTATGGGGAAAACTTATTCATAGTTCCCAAACTTGGAAAAGTCAGGTTTCTGTAATCTTTGAGGTTACAAACATGTGGCCTATTAGCTGATTCTATCCTATTGGGCAGGGTACAGGTCCAATATTTAAATCAGCACATTTCAGTACAAATTTAGATCTCCTGCTTCTTTTGAAACATTGGAAGATATGGCAACACAGGGCTTACTTTCTGGCATAAATACAATTAGCTGGAGTTTAATAGTAGATACTTCATTTTTAGTTGTATTTTTAAATTTCCCTACTTATTTTTCTTACCCTCTACCCACTTCACTCATTTATGTTACATGATAGAATACAGTGTAAATCTCTAAAGGGATTTGAATTTGTAGCTTCTGCTTCCCATTGTAGTAATCATAAAATTTAATTGTCAGTATATCCCTTGTAGGGAGCACTTACATTTCATTATTTTATTTTTGTTTTAATGTGATGTTTAATGGTAATATATTCACATGGTTCCAAATATAAAGCATAAAAAGGAGTGTAATGTTATTTAATATCCTTTTTTACCCTTTAAGTATTTCCATTGTCTCTTGTACTACTCATCTTCCCCCAACCCAGCTCACATTCCTAGAGGCAACTAGTGTACCATTTTCTTGTGTAGCAAATATATATTCTTTATTTTTCTTTTATGAGCAAGTAGATGCATACTACTACAGTATTTTTCTTGCTATTTTTTTTTTCACTTGAATCATGAACCATCCTGGAGATAACTCCATTTTATGATACATAAAATCTTCTTCAAAATGTTTTCTAAAGTGGATGTATGTACTGTTTATATACCTACCAGCAGTATATGAAGGCACCACATCTTAGCCAATGCTTAGCTGTTTTTTAGTTTTGTTTTTTTTTTGTGGTTCTTGGCATTGAAACTTGGGCCTCATGCAGTCTAAAGATGAGCACTTCCATTGAGCTATATCCCTACCCCTTGTCTTTTTAATAAAATCTTATAGGGAGTGCAAAATAGTATCTCAGTGTGGTTCTGATTTGCATTTCCTTGATAACTAGTGAAATTGTGTGTATTTTTATTAGCTTACTGGCCATTTGTAGAACATCTTTGGAGAAATAGCTATTCAAATCCTTTGCTCACTTTAAAAATTGGGTTTTTTTTTTTAGCTTGTCCTGGTGATGCATGCGTGTCCCAGCTACAAAGGAGACTGAGGCAGGTGGATCGCTTGAGTCCAGTAGTTTAAGACCTGTCTAGGCAACAGCTAGAATCCCATCTCCTAAAAAAAAAAAAAAAAAAAAGCTAATTATATGGTGTAATGCTATTATCCATCAACTTTCCAAATAGCTGTTATTTCCTTGGCAACAGATGACTTTGAAAGTTTATATTAATTATGAGATTAATAAGCAAAATTAAAATAGATGTTTAGTTATTATAATGGCAATAATACAGAAGTAAAAGTTTCTGATTATTTATAAAGTCTCCATTAGAGACTGAAAAATTTGAGTGTTATAAATCTGGCCTACTGAGAGTGAGAACTCAAAGCATAGGTTGGAAGCAGATCAGGTGGGGTGCCTTCTTTGAAGGTGTAAACTTGCATACAGAAGTACAAAATAATGTAAACCCAAGTTACTATAAAACTTGGAATTCCATAAATCATGTTGAAACCATGCTTTTTATTTTGTCTATGTGTGTATGTGAATTACATGTATTTCTTGATGAATAGAAATCAATTCCTGAATTCATTTCTTTCATCTATTGGAGCCAAGTTTTCACCTAGAAAAAGTCCTCGTCGTAACTTTCTCTTAACTTTTAGGACTTGACTTAGCTTAGAAATGATCCTTACTCGTGCCTATGAGGAATTAATATTTCTAATTTGAGAAAAATGTGTAGGTTGGGAATAATTATAATTAGGGCCCTATGTTATATTACATTGTGCATTTTAATTATGGATTCAGATTGGAATAAACTACTACTACAAACCTTTAAGGACATTTGCCTCTATTTTCAAATGGAGGAATGGAACAATAAAATGTAGAACCTGTCTATTTGTAAAGGAGGTAAGCTGGAAATGTAACTGTGACACCAGGCAGAGTGTGCTCATTGCTGTAAAGTGCCATTGGAGGACAGGAAGGCAAAAAGTAATGCTTTGTAGGGAGAGAAAGGATTGGAAAGGCTTTCTAGCCAATATTGCAGCATCTTTTTATCTGGGTTTTCTTCTTTTTTGGGGGGGGGTAGCATGTGTTAATTGTTCAAAGCTGCTTTGTTATAGTATTTCTATATCTGAATATAATATACTTTGATCAAATTCACCCCCTCTATTACTCTTTTTTACCACCCTCCTTTTAAAACAATTTTAACGTGTTTCATTATGCTATTTTCATACATGTCTATGAGGTACTTTGTGCATATTCACCCCCCATGTCACCCTCTCTCATTCTGAGTGTTCCCACTCCCAATCACTTCCCTATTTACATTTGGTTTTTGTCATTTGTTTTTGCTTTTATGGTCTAGATTCACATATGAGAGAACACACAATATTTGTCTTTCTCAGTTTGGTTTATTTCACTTAACATGATTATTCCTACTTCTATCCATTTTTCTACAAATAGTATAATTTCATTCTTTTTTTATAGCTGAATAGTATTTCACTGTTTGTATATATGTATATGTGTGTATCACATTTTCTCTATCTATTCCTCAGTCAGTGGACACCCAGACTAATTCCATAGTTTGGCTGTTGTGAATGTGCTGTGGTAAACTTGAGTGTGCAAGTAGCATCAGGTATTCCTTCATGTGTATGCCCAGGAGTGCTATAGCTGGATATAGTCATCTAGGCTGGCAGTTATTCTCTTTTAGGACTTGAAATATATCATTCATTCCTTCTTTGCTTTTAAAGTTCTGTTAAACCTGCTGTTATTTTGATGGGTTGCCTTTATAGGTGACTTGGCATTTCTGTCTCTTGCAGTTTTCAATATTCTTTCCAGGTTCTGTATGCCTAATGTTTTAATTATAATATGACATGGAGAGGTTCTTTTGTGGTCTTGTCTATTTGAAATCCTAAAAGCCTACTATATACTTGGATGACCATCTGCTTCTTAAGATTTGGGAAGTTTTCTGGTACTATCTTATCAAATATGTTTTCTATGCCTTTAGCTTGCACCTCTTCATCGTCTATGCTCATGATGTATAGGTTTGGTCTTTTAATGGCATCCCATTGGTCTTGCCATGTTCCTTTTGTACTTTATATTTTTTTCTCTTATCTCCATCTGCATGTTCATCTCTTCATTTGAGTTTTCTTAGAATTCATTTGGGAATTTATTCATGTCCTTTTTAATTTCATGATCATTTGTAAAATTTTTTTTGAATTATTCATATGAGATTTTATTCACTTCACAGTCATTATTGTTTGTTACTGTTGAGCTGTTGAGTTTCAGAGGAGTCATGTTGCCTTGTTTTCTCATATATCTTGTGTTTATGTGTTGGGATTTGCAAATCTGAGTCTAAGGCATTAATTAGAAATT